AATACGTAAGGCTATAGTCTTACCTTCGTGTGCTTTTTTTTGACCGTTCATAAATTTAACGGTCAAAAAAATTGAATTGACCCTTGAAATTCACTCCAAGGCATCTAAATTTGATGGAAAATGCCTCCACATGATGTATTTTGTCCAAAAAAAAATTCAAATTCCTTCATAAAATTTACCAAAATAACTAAGGCTGTCCTCTTACCTTCATGTGCGTTTTTTGACCATTCTTAAATTGTCAATTTTTCACTACAAGACAACAAAATACGACAGAAAATGCCTCCGTCTGATGCACGTTATGAAATTTATTATAAATGTCCAATATGTTATCTTCATTACATGAGGGTCTTTTTATTTTGCAGTTCAAGTATTACTACTGTCAAAGTTTCTAATGTTTGCTGCTGCTGTACCAAAAACCTCCTAATATTCACAACATTAATCTCCATATATATATATATATAAGGAAATTCTATGTGTATTTTTTCAGTTGCCATAGTGAGAGCTGTACAAAAGAGCCTTCACCTGTTCCTCACGCATCACCGTTAAAGAAACACTTTTCTCCCATCAGTAAATTTCATATTGCAGTTTTAAAAACATCTGCTTTGACAAAATCTTAAAAATCGTAAACAGTAACTACATAGTAATTGGTGAAATGGTCGATGACCCATTTACGACAGTGTCTCCAGGTCCATCATGGAAGCAGCTTTCCTTCTGTGGGACATCACACTCAGCTGAAACAATATACACATTAACCCACTGTTATAGCAGTCAAAGCCAAAACATACATTATTCACTGTAGCTATTAGTGGGAGAAATACGTAAATAGAGCCAGAAGGGCTGTCTGGATACTTTTGGACTTTCAGTGTAGACTGTAACTGTGCGTACCTGATGAGATGCACTGGAAGCTCTCTGTTCAGCCTGAGTCAGACGTCTCTGCAGGCGAGCATTTTTCTCCTGCTGCTCCGCGACCTGCCGCTCATACTTCCAGCAACAGCAATACGACGTTACAACACCATACAATGTTTATATATTACAGTAATTTTTGGTGGCCATTTTATACACCTGTAATAGCACTGTTAAGTTATATGAAGCCAAGCGCTGCTAATTAACTGGCTGCCCAATTATTACATCATTAAGCAATAATAAGATTGAATTAAGCATCAGGATTAGAATTATTTTGAATTTATTAGTTTTAATTTATTTTGTTGTGCACTTGCTGGCAGCCACTTTACACTAAGTTTCTGTTTGTTTTGTATCATTTGTGGTGTGTTTGGTTTATTTTGAACTTTGCCTCACAGTAGAGAAGTTTGACTGGAATGTTTTTTTGTGGTAGCGGAGTTTGACTGGGCCGCAAACATTGAAACTTTTTACTGCAGTAGCGGAGTTTGACTGGGCCGCAAACCTGGAAACTTTTTACTGCGGTAGCAGAGTTTGACTGGGCCGCAAACCTGGAAACTTCTTACTGTGGTAGTCTAGTTTGACTGGGCCGCAAACTGGGAAACTTTTTACTGCGGTAGCAGAGTTTGACTGGGCTGCAAACTGGGACACTTTTTACCGCGGTAGTGGAGTTTGACTGGGCCACAAACCGGGACACTTTTTACCGCGGTAGTGGAGTCTGACTGGGTCGCAACCCGGGACACTTTTTACCGCGGTAGTGGAGTTTGACTGGGTCGCAACCCAGGACACTTTTTACTGCGGTAGTGGAGTTTGACTGGGTCGCAACCCAGGACACTTTTTACTGCGGTAGCGGAGTTTGACTGGGTCGCAAATCAGGACACTTTTACTGCGGTAGCGGAGTTTGACTGGGTCGCAACCCAGGACACTTTTTACTGCGGTAGCGGAGTTTGACTGGGTCGCAACCCAGGACACTTTTACTGCGGTAGCGGAGTTTGACTGGGTCGCAACCCAGGACACTTTTTACTGCGGTAACGGAGTTTGACTGGGTCGCAACCCAGGACACTTTTTACTGCGGTGGTGGAGTTTGACTGGGTCGCAAATCAGGACACTTCATTGTCGAAACATTTGGTGTTTTGCTGATTTGTAGTTTTGTTAAGCATCTTTTGCTCGACCAGTGAACATACACGACTCTTTTTGCTTGACAAAAGGTGCTATATAAATTAAACTAATCACCACTATTATTACAATTATTTTCATTTGTTACTTTAAAGAGTACACTGTTATTTTTCTTTTAATTTCTGAAAAGCTAGTTCTATTAAATTCAGTTTTAGCTTTGAACGTTATAGTGATAGCAGATATTTGAGTATTTTAAAACGTTCAAATTACATTTTTCTATATAAACTACAAAATGCACAGCGTGAACATGAGTGACATTAACCTCAAGACTAATTTGAGAGTGGTGTCCGCATGAGCTACATTCATTTACATGGTTTTAATCAATATCTAACTTTTTAGAGTGGTTTGGTGTGAAACGCTCTGTTCTAGAGAAACTTAGAGTCAGAATAGTGCACAGTGGTGGTGATAGGAACCAGACGTCCACCTCTAAAAGCTCCCACACAAAAAAAATGTTACATGAAATGTAACATGCTTACATGCTTATGAATAGGTGTTTATGAATGGGCGTTATGAATATGTTGAATGATGTCTGAGACAGTGTTTTATGGAGATGATTTTGGGACCAAATGTATGTTTTAAAGCCTTAAATTGGTGGACAAATACATGCAGGGCACTGTGAAGCAAAATAATCTCCAAAGAAAATGTATTTATTTCAGATTTTCCACTATTTTACTACAATCAGCATTCCATATATAAACTCAGAAGACTCGTGTAGGTTCACTGGTGGTAAATAAAATGTCTGTATTTTTTGTTGTAGTCATGGCGACCCCTGGTTCCTATCACCACCACTGTAAAGACATCTGAGCCTCTACAATCAACCATTTCACACCAAACCACTCTGAATCACTCCGCTTACATCTCAAACACGGAATTATGGGGAAAGTTTGGGACATTTTGGGTGGAATTCCCCTTTAAGGCCTAATAAAGGAGATTAGAAGGGCATAATAATGAACACCTAATATAAAGTGATACCAAACATTACAACAGCTTTGCTTTTTGGCAGTGCTTATGCAATATTCATAATTTTGTCCAAATCACAAGTGTAATAAGGGACCTTCATTTTCTATTAATCTAATTATTATCTTCCTTATTTTCATCGTTCTGAGATTGAATACCGTGCCTGTACACTGTACCACACACACATCTACTCTGGAACAGCTGGACTTCCCTTTAGAGATCAATAAGTTCTTGTTATCTTGATAGAACCAAATTATTACAATGTTAACATAAACTACCTTCCATCAAACATCATTACTCACATACCTATGGCGAGACATCATAACATTAGCATCGTTTATATCTTGGCTGATGTTTTTATTTTCCATTATTATGTAATTTTATTGTTTTAGGTCACCACTAAAGCACTATAGAGCTACTTTAAGCCAAACAGACTCATGAAGCTAAATCAGAAGCTCATTCCACACCTCCAGGACTTTCTCATGGTGAGTTTCCAGCTGAATCTCCAGTTCCTGGCAGCGCTGCTTCTGCCTGTTCAGCTCTGATCTGAAACACAAACAAGCAGGACTAAAACGCACCTGAAGGTGGCGATCCAACTGCATCAAATTGGGAATGTTAAACAACTGGAAAAGAGCTCAAGCTGTTATAGATAGAATGGATGGCTGCTGGATACCAAAAAAAAATAAAATACATATCTGAATCCCAAAAATAAAAACTTAAGACATAAACAATGAACCAATATCCAAATGGTTGAATATTTGGGTCAAGCCTAGATTAAATTTTATATACATACATACATACGTATATATATACATACGTGTATATATAAATAAATAATATTAGTGTAAAGAAACCCGAGTACATTAAGAAGGAGTAATTACTTATTTTGGAAAAAAGAAGCTGATTTACAGTATATAATATATTATATATATATATCGTTTTTGGAAAGAGAAACTGTTTGTTCACACACACACACACACACACACACATTGATATATGAACATAAATCTATACAAGTGTTTATTTGCTCAAAACAACCATTAACATTACAATAAAGAGTAAATAAAATTAATACAATAAGCAGCGACCCTTTCTAAATCTCTCCTCTTGAGGAAGCTCAGTATGATTCGTAGTTATAATCAGGTTTGTCCAGTCATTACTTCATTAAATTAAAGCAGATACTGTAAGTCAGCTACTTTTCCACAATAAGTAATTATTCCTTCTTACTGTACTCGTGTTTCCTTACACTATTCTAATGTTATATTGTGCTTTTACAAGCACAGACACGGTTATTACCAATGTACGCGGTGTTAAATAATGTGCTCAGATGTTTTTTCCTCAGTACTATAAACATACAGTCAGATTGTCTGCATTAATCGTGAAGATGTTTATTTGTGGGCGTGTCTCTTGTCTAACCTGAGTGAGCTGAGTGAGCTGTGGAAGGTGTTTGTGAGTTGTTTGGTTTCCTCTCTGTAGCGGTTGGTGGTTTTCTGCTGGGCGAGCAGCAGGCGGCTCAGTCCTGCCGTGGAGGTCTTACTGCTCTCCTCCATCTCCCTCAGCCTGGTCTCCAAACCCTGCTCCTTCACGCTGAGCTCCTGCTGCATACGGGACACCTGCGCACAATCACACGCACTTATAAACCTGTTCAGCCCGTCTACAGATCTACATGAACAGGTAAACAGTACATTAAACCTCCTCCAGCAGACGCTGCTTCACTCTTAGTTTGATTTCTCTCAGTGTACCTTGTTAAACTGGGCATTATAGAATTTGTTAGCATCCAAATTAAGGAATTATTTTCATATCAAATATGCACAAGTCTCTGATCAGTAGATCAAATCCACCTGAGCGCCGTCTGAACATGGGGAAGAAAAATCTGACATTTTTGTGCAAAAGGCCTTCACCTGGTCAATCTCACAAATTTGCTTCAATCTGAATAGTGAGCTAGAAATAGAGCATAATTCTGAAAATCTTTATTCCATTTTACCCGTGTTTGTTGCTGTTTTCAGCAAATTAAAAATAAACCAGCATCATGGACCAAAACCTTGAGTTGTCTAAGTTTCTCCTGAGAAATGTTACAGTATTTTGCTGTTCACATTTATTGTCGTCGTAACTTTTCTTTGTTTTAATTTTTTCTAACTTCTAAAATATTCTGTTTCTATTTGAAAATGAAAATATAGAAAGTTTTCAAGGCGATCCAGACTTTTGGACCCTGGTGTGTATACACATACATAGTATCCAAAAGTCTGGGACCGCCTGGAAAATCTGAGATTTTTTTCAGATTCACTCACTATATATATATATATATATATATATATATATATATATAATATATATATATATATATATATATATATATATATATCTCATGTTCTTTACTGCATAACTTTAGTATTTCATAAGCTACATTCAAAAGGTGGGTGCCATATCACTGTCTTCTTTACAGTCAAATAGATGGGTAATGTAATTTTAAAACTTTTTAATAAAAGAAGATGAACAACATTTTTTCCTATTGAAAGTTGATGCATTTTTTCCACAAATCTGATCTAATAACTGGATCTCAGATGGCGTCTCTTCGGTGAGCTGCTCTGTAAAAATTATTTTAATCAAAAAATACAAAGGTTTTGGGCTTTCAGCAGTAAAGTGTAAGCATATGGCATTATGTTTATGATCATAAAACACATTTTCTGTTATTTTAAGGGGAGGGTAACAAAAAAACAACACTACATTTATTTCATGCAGTTACTGAATAATTTGCCTTACGATTTGGGCATGTAAATTCAGAGTGAAAAACCGAAATATACCCACGAACGTAAGAGGTTAGAGCGTTTTTAAAATCAGCTTTAAAAAGGTTTCCTCTATGGGGTCCAGTGACACTGTTTTCTGATACCAAATCAAATCTGCCCAGTCAGGAACCTGTAATGACACTGAGGTTAATGTTCTGTGTACCTGCTGTTTGGCCTGCCTCTGAGCCAACGCGCACTCTTTGCGGAGTGTCTCCATGTCTCGCTGTAGTTGCTGGTTCTCCTGCTGCAGGCTGAGCCGGTCCTCGCTGATGCTGCTGCTCTCCTCCCGCGCGCTCGCCAGCGCCACCTGCAGCCTGCGCACCTCCTCCTGACACCGCGACAGCTCCTCACTGAAACTATTTAGCACAAAATGGTGCATTTACATACATTTTATTGCAAACCAAACCATTCTAGATGGTCAAATACACTGATTTATTATTTCTGTATAAGTGAAGGTGTGAGACAGAGATTCAGAGTGGTTTGGTGTGAAATGGTTCAGATGTCTTTACAGTGGTGGTGATAGGAACCAGGGGTCGCCATGACTACAACACAAATATAGACATCTTATTTACTATCCAGAACCACCAGTGAACCTACACGAGTCTTCTGAGTTTATATGGGATGTTGATGATGGAAAATAGTGGAAAATCTGAAATAATAAGTTTTCTTTGGGGACTATTTTGCCTCACAGCGCCCTGCATGTATCCCTCCACCATGAATGGAGTTTAAGTTCTCTAAACTATCCTAAAACAGTGTCTCAGTCATCAGGCAGTGAATTCATAACCATTTCCTGTAGGAACTTTCTGTGAGGGAGCTTTTAGAGGTGGACGTCTGGTTTCTATCACCACCACTGTGAACAATTCTGACTCTGTAAGTTTCTCTAGAACAGAGCGTTTCACACCAAACCACTCTGACTAGTTAATTATGCAGAAATTCTGAAAAATCAATTTCCCTGTGTACAATCATTCTAATTTTAGATTAAAAAAACTGATACAATAAGAATAACAGCCTCCAACAATATCAATAATAATAATAATAATGTTAAGCCTGTTTCATGAACATTTCTAATGTTCAAGACTCTCTTATTTTGGCAGCAGTGGTTTCTGCCGGGGAGTGAAGTCATCACCTGGCAAAGGTAGGCTTGATTTTCTCCTCTCTCTCAGAGATGAAAGCTTTAAGTGCTGTTTATCTGATAAGGGCAGTTTTGGTGTCGACCAGCTCTTCCAGGTGGTTGTTAGGAGCCTCAATTTCTCTGTAGCTTTCAATCAGTTTTAACTGGAAAATATTTGTGTGTTTTGCATGATGTGTGATTTGCACGTTTTGTATGTTGTGTGTCCTGTGTGTTTTGCGTGTTGCGTGTTCTGTGTGTTTTGAGTGCTGCGTGTTCTGTGTTTTGCGCGTTGTGTGTCCTGTGTGTTTTGCGTGTTGCGTGTTGTGTGTGTTTTGAGTGCTGCGTGTTCTGTGTGTTTTGAGTGTTGCGTGTTCTGTGTTTTGCGCGTTGTGTGTCCTGTGTGTTTTGCGTGTTGTGTGTGTTTTGAGTGTTGTGTGTCCTGTGTGTTGCGTGTGTTTTGCGTGTTCTGTGTGTTTTGAGTGTTGCGTGTTCTGTGTGTTTTGCGTGTTCTGTGTGTTCTGTGTGTTGTGTTCTGTGTGTTTTGCGTGTTCTGTGTGTTTTGAGTGTTCTGTGTTGTGTGTGTTGTGTGTTCTGTGTTGTGTGTGTTTTGTGTGTTCTGTGTTGTGTGTGTTTTGCGTGTCCTGTGTGTTTTGCGTGTTGTGTCCTGTGTGTTTTGAGTGTTGCGTGTTCTGTGTGTTTTGAGTGCTGCGTGTCCTGTGTGTTTTGAGTGTTGCGTGTCCTGTGTGTTTTGAGTGTTGCGTGTTCTGTGTGTTTTGAGTGTTGCGTGTCCTGTGTGTTTTGAGTGTTGCGTGTCCTGTGTGTTTTGAGTGTTGCGTGTCCTGTGTGTTTTGAGTGTTGCGTGTCCTGTGTGTTTTGCGTGTTTTGAGTGCTGCGTGTCCTGTGTGTTTTGAGTGTTGCGTGTTCTGTGTGTTTTGAGTGTTGCGTGTCCTGTGTGTTTTGAGTGTTGCGTGTCCTGTGTGTTTTGAGTGTTGCGTGTCCTGTGTGTTTTGAGTGTTGCGTGTCCTGTGTGTTTTGAGTGTTGCGTGTCCTGTGTGTTTTGCGTGTTCTCTGTGTTTTGAGTGCTGCGTGTTCTGTGTGTTTTGAGTGCTGCGTGTTCTGTGTGTTTTGAGTGTTGCGTGTTCTGTGTGTTTTGTGTGTTTTGAGTGTTGCGTGTTCTGTGTGTTTTGTGTGTTGCGTGTTCTGTGTGTTTTGAGTGTTGCGTGTTCTGTGTGTTTTGAGTGCTGCGTGTTCTGTGTGTTTTGTGTGTTTTGAGTGTTGCGTGTTCTGTGTGTTGTGTGTTTTGAGTGTTGCGTGTTCTGTGTGTTTTGTGTGTTTTGTGTGTTTTGAGTGTTGCGTGTTCTGTGTGTTTTGAGTGTTTTGAGTGTTGCGTGTTCTGTGTGTTTTGAGTGTTTTGAGTGTTGCGTGTTCTGTGTGTTTTGTGTGTTTTGAGTGTTGCGTGTTCTGTGTGTTTTGAGTGTTGCGTGTTCTGTGTGTTTTGTGTGTTTTGAGTGTTGCGTGTTCTGTGTGTTTTGTGTGTTTTGAGTGTTGCGTGTTCTGTGTGTTTTGAGTGCTGCGTGTCCTGTGTGTTTTGAGTGTTGCGCGTTCTGTGTGTTTTGAGTGCTGCGTGTCCTGTGTGTTTTGAGTGCTGCGTGTCCTGTGTGTTTTGAGTGCTGCGTGTTCTGTGTGTTTTGAGTGCTGCGTGTTCTGTGTGTTTTGAGTGCTGCGTGTCCTGTGTGTTTTGAGTGTTGCGCGTTCTGTGTGTTTTGAGTGTTGCGTGTTCTGTGTGTTTTGAGTGTTGCGTGTTCTGTGTGTTTTGTGTGTTTTGAGTGCTGCGTGTTCTGTGTGTTTTGAGTGTTTTGAGTGTTGCGTGTTCTGTGTGTTTTGAGTGCTGCGTGTTCTGTGTGTTTTGAGTGTTTTGAGTGTTGCGTGTTCTGTGTGTTTTGTGTGTTTTGAGTGTTGCGTGTTCTGTGTGTTTTGAGTGCTGCGTGTTCTGTGTGTTTTGAGTGCTGCGTGTTCTGTGTGTTTTGAGTGTTTTGAGTGTTGCGTGTTCTGTGTGTTTTGAGTGCTGCGTGTTCTGTGTGTTTTGAGTGCTGCGTGTTCTGTGTGTTTTGAGTGCTGCGTGTTCTGTGTGTTTTGAGTGTTGCGTGTTCTGTGTGTTTTGAGTGCTGCGTGTTCTGTGTGTTTTGAGTGTTTTGAGTGTTGCGTGTTCTGTGTGTTTTGAGTGCTGCGTGTTCTGTGTGTTTTGAGTGCTGCGTGTTCTGTGTGTTTTGAGTGCTGCGTGTTCTGTGTGTTTTGAGTGTTTTGAGTGTTGCGTGTTTTGAGTGTTTTGAGTGTTGCGTGTTCTGTGTGTTTTGAGTGCTGCGTGTTCTGTGTGTTTTGAGTGCTGCGTGTTCTGTGTGTTTTGAGTGCTGCGTGTTCTGTGTGTTTTGAGTGTTTTGAGTGTTGCGTGTTCTGTGTGTTTTGAGTGCTGCGTGTTCTGTGTGTTTTGAGTGCTGCGTGTTCTGTGTGTTTTGAGTGTTTTGAGTGTTGCGTGTTCTGTGTGTTTTGAGTGCTGCGTGTTCTGTGTGTTTTGAGTGTTTTGAGTGTTGCGTGTTCTGTGTGTTTTGAGTGCTGCGTGTTCTGTGTGTTTTGAGTGTTTTGAGTGCTGCGTGTTCTGTGTGTTTTGAGTGCTGCGTGTTCTGTGTGTTTTGAGTGCTGCGTGTTCTGTGTGTTTTGAGTGTTTTGAGTGTTGCGTGTTCTGTGTGTTTTGAGTGCTGCGTGTTCTGTGTGTTTTGAGTGCTGCGTGTTCTGTGTGTTTTGAGTGCTGCGTGTTCTGTGTGTTTTGAGTGCTGCGTGTTCTGTGTGTTTTGAGTGCTGCGTGTTCTGTGTGTTTTGTGTGTTTTGAGTGCTGCGTGTTCTGTGTGTTTTGAGTGCTGCGTGTTCTGTGTGTTTTGTGTGTTTTGAGTGTTGCGTGTTCTGTGTGTTTTGAGTGCTGCGTGTTCTGTGTGTTTTGAGTGCTGCGTGTTCTGTGTGTTTTGTGTGTTTTGAGTGTTGCGTGTTCTGTGTGTTTTGTCTGTGTTACTCACTCCATCTCCAGTTTCTTCATGTTAGACTGCGTGCTGTTCAGTGTGAGCTCCATCTCCTCCTTCAGTCTCTCTGCGTTTAAGCATCTCTGATGCAGAGCCTCCAGCTTCCTGAGCTCCGGCTCTCCACAGCGACCTTCTCTGTACACCTACAACACACAGATGATCATAAAGAACCAGGCATATCCGCACACACCCACTGCCCCCTGCACAGCCCTTCAGCTGGTGTTGGTGAACAGGGCTCCTCTAACATATCAAAGATCACGGACAGGTGCGTCTGAGATCTACCAGACAGATTACTTTCCATTAGCCAAAGTCACTGCAGGAAAAACATTATTTACTCTGTAATGAGTCAAACTGAAATTTTCAAAATCTATTTAAACTAGAAATGTGCATTCCTAAAGAAAATGCAGTGACTGTGCAGCTTAAGCAATTCTCTTGTGGTTGCTATGGTGTTGCTAGGTGTTCCTAAGGTAACTGAGGTGGTTGCTTGACTATGGCTAATCAGTTTGGTTGTTGCTACCACCAGAGATCCTCCAGCAACCCATTAGCAATAACTGGTATTAATCTGTGTTTAAGGTGGTTGCCAGGATGTTGCCCTTTAGTTACTGTGGTATGGTACAGTGGTTGCACAGCGTTTGCTATTGTGTACCAAGTGGCTGCTAAGATGTTGCTGGGATGGCTGCTATGGTGGTCGCTAGGATATTGCAAGGGGGTTGTTACCTTCTCCAGTTCCTCTTCAACAGCTTTCCTCTCTCTGTGTGCTCTCTCTATCTGAGTCTCTTTATCCGCACATTCCTGAAAACACAGTGTAAACACAGCAACACTGAGATGTACCAGTAATGACAGTTACAATGTTTTAAGCTATAATAAGAAAAATACAGAGTCATAGTTTAGACAATTAACCAAACAAGCATCACACTGTTGAGGCAATGACAGTATTGTGTGTGTGGAGGCAGCAGTGGGGTTCTATTGTGTGTATGGAGGCAGCAGTGGGCAGTATTGTGTGTATGGGGGCAGCAATGGGGCAGTATTGTGTGTATAAGGGGCAGCAGTGGGGCAGTATGGTATGTATGGGGGAAGTAGTGGGGCAGTACTGTGTGTGGGGGCAGCAGTGGGGCAGTATGGTGTGTATGGGGGCAGCAGTGGGGCAGTATTGTGTGTGGGGGCAGCAATGGGGCAGTATTCTGTGTATGGGGGCTGCAGTGGGGCAGTATTGTGTGTATGGGGGCAGCAGTGGGGCAGTATTGTGTGTATGGGGGCAGCAGTGGGGCAGTATTGTGTGTATAGAGACAGCAGTGGAGTAGTATTGTGAGTATAGAGGCAGCAGTGGGGCAGTATTGTGTGTATAAGGGGCAGCAGTGGGGCAGTATTGTGAGTATAGAGGCAGCAGTGGGGCAGTATTGTGTGTATGGAGGCAGCAGTGGGGCAGTATTGTGTGTATAAGGGGCAGCAGTGGGGCAGTATTGTGAGTATAGAGGCAGCAGTGGGGCAGTATTGTGTGTATGGGGGCAGTATTTGGTTTATTCTGACCAGTTGTAGAGCAGACAGTTCTTCAGTCAGGCGATGAATCTGAGTATTACACTGTTTACGGACTGTCTCCACCTGAAACACACACACATCTGATTTTAAACAAAGGTAAATAAAGCCGTTCAGAGTGGTCTGAAGTGAAACAGCTCACTATAGAGAAACCCAACGACTCTGATTTCTTTACAGAGGTGATGGCAGGAAAACTGTCATTTTATCTTCTATCCAAAACTACTAGCAAACCACAAGCAAAACTGATAAAAATAGATCTCTTTGGGCACTATTTTACCCCTGCACCATGAATTCTGACTCGCTAAGTTTCTCCAGAACAGAGCATTTCACACCAAACCCTTTGAATGACAACTGCATCACACAGAACACTTGAAAAAACAAAGGAGTTTCCCTTTTACTGACAGCCAGGCAGTAATTATTATGCTTATGTCACCCTCTGGTGGCTGAAATAAAAACTGACATTTTTCATGGACAACACATTAAAAGAAAAAGTGCCAGACAAAGATAATTAGTTTAGTCCAGCTTAAAGCCACGAACTTAAATCATCCAGCCTAAGAGACAACTGTGACAAATGGAAACTATTTGTGATTCATGATCCTGGGCTCAAGCCTAGTGTGGAGAGGTGTTCGGTACCTCTCTCCTGGTACGGGCAGCTGCTTCCTCCACCAGCTGCTTCATGCCTTCCTTCATTCTCTCCAGCTCCTCCACCCTCTGCTTCTCCCTCAGCTGGGCCTGATGTACATACACACACATTACAGTCATTAACACAGTAATTCTCCAGCTGCAACACCTAAGACACAGTTCAAATTACTTCTCTCTGTAGAGTATATATAAAACTGACCCGGTCTCTCTGTAGAGTATATATAAATCTGACCCGGTCTCTCTGTAGCGTATATATAAAACTGACCCGGTCTCTCTGTAGTGTATATATTAAACTGACCCGGTCTCTCTGTAGTGTATATATTAAACTGACCCGGTCTCTCTGTAGAGCATGTATAAAACTCACCCTGTCTCTCTGTAACGTATCTTATAAAACTGACCCGGTCTCTCTGTAGCGTATGTATAAAACTGACCCGGTCTCTCTGTAGTGTATATATAAATCTGACCCGGTCTCTCTGTAGTGTACATATAAATCTGACCCGGTCTCTCTGTAGTGTACATATAAATCTGACCCGGTCTCTCTGTAGCGTATATATAAATCTGACCCGGTCTCTCTGTAGCGTATATATAAATCTGACCCGGTCTCTCTGTAGCGTATATATAAATCTGACCCGGTCTCTCTGTAGTGTATATATAAATCTGACCCGGTCTCTCTGTAGCATCTATAAAACTGACCCGGTCTCTCTGTAGCGTATATATTAAACTGACCCGGTCTCTCTGTAGCATATCTATAAATCTGACCCGGTCTCTCTGTAGCATATCTATAAATCTGACCCGGTCTCTCTGTAGTGTATCTATAAATCTGACCCGGTCTCTCTGTAGTGTATCTATAAATCTGACCCGGTCTCTCTGTAGCGTATCTGTAAATCTGACCCGGTCTCTCTGTAGTGTATATATAAATCTGACCCGGTCTCTCTGTAGCGTATATATAAAACTGACCCGGTCTCTCTGTAGTGTATATATAAATCTGACCTGGTCTCTCTGTAGTGTATATATATATAAATCTGACCCGGTCTCTCTGTAGCGTATCTATAAATCTGACCTGGTCTCTCTGTAGTGACGCCTCCTCTGCGAGCTGCAGTGAGTTTCGGAGTCGTTGGAAAGTTTCAAATTTTTCCTCCTCCAAAGTCGCACAGCGGCTCTGCAGCTCCCCCAGCTTCCTTTCCCATAATGCCTGCTCCCTTCGCACCGTCTCCGCCTCCGCTGTCGCCCCCTTCAGCCTTAAAAACAACAGAGCAGCACAATGTTGGAAATACAGACAATTACAGTTTTGACATTACAGATGTTGCCTTCAGATTGAAGAAAGCAATTTAACATTTACAATGCAGCAACAATTACGACATAATTATTAAAAATCCTGTATTCGGCTAGACTAACACATAACTGTAATCATCGCTACTCTGTGAGTGACATCTTTATAACACAGTGCACTTACATGTATGCAGACGGGCCCAAACATCTCCATTTAAAGGGCTTGTATCATGGAAAACTGAATTTTACTATGTTTCACTCCACAACACATATATGGAGATTTTAATTTTTGTATATATTATTTTAAATTTCAATGGATTTATTAGAACAGTACATTCGCTGTACATATATGGGCAGTATATATGCACTGTGTGTGTGAAACATCTTTGAAAACTAATGGAAGCGTGCAAATGTATGCGTGCATGTATTCATGCATGCGTGTGTACGTGCCTGCCCTCTAACTGGCTGAGTGCTGTCTGTAACTGCTGCAGTCTTCGATCTGATGCTTCCTCTCTCCCATGAGCCTCTGCTGCATCCTCCTCCTACACACACACACAAAACACTAAGTTATGTTAGAGCTGCATGATATGGAAAAAAATACCTGTAATATAATACACTGCAACATATGGCTACATACAGTTTTTTGCTACCTACTGCAATTATATTACTACATACTGCAATTTACTGCCATGTTATGTGAATATATTACTACTTACTGTCATTGTATTGCTGCATATTGCGATCATATTGTTACATACTGCAGCTACATCACACTGTGATTTCACCGTTATATACTGCAATTACACTATTACATACTGACTATGTTGCTACACATTGGAATTATAATACTATATACTGAGGTTATATTTGTACATATTGCTATTATACTGCTACATACTGTAATTATTTATATTGCTACATTTTGCAATTATTTTGCTTCCTATTGCGATTTTATTGTTAAAGACTTATTATTACTGCAATTGTTATCATACACTGTAATAAAAATTGCTCCAGATTGCGATTATATGGCTACGTAGTACAGTATTATAGTTACATATTGCAAATATTTTGCTACAAATTGTGATTATGTTGCAACATGTTGCAATCATTTTGCTTCCAATTACAATTATTTTGTTAAAAGACTGATTTTAATGTTATATATTGCAACTTTTATTATACCCTGTGATAAAATTCCTCCAGATCGCGATTATATGGCTATGTAGTGTGATTACACTGATACAGATCTTGATTATACTACTACATTGTGTGATTATGATAGTACATGTTGTAATTATTTTGCTATAATTACCATTATAACATTATAGATTGTGTTTACAGCTACATGTTGCTAATATAATATATATTATGATAAAATTGAAAAAGATTGACAACATTGCTACATATAGTGATTACATTGTTACATATTGTGATTATGCTGCCACATATTACATTTACACTGCTACCTACTGAGATTATATTGATACATATAGAGATTACATTGCTATATATTAAGTTATATTGGGACTATACTGCTGTATACTGTGATTGTATTGGGCCATATTGTGATTATACTGCTTCATATTGTAATTATACCACCACTTGTTGCAATTGTGATTTGTTCTGCTGTTCACTATGAAACACACTGATAAACAATAATGTGGTAACATTACAGTTACATAATCACCTGCACTATTTCAACCAAAACAATTTACTATTGTTGTATTACAAGCTAATCCATCAATGCTAGAGAGACACATAAGGAGCTGTGATTGGTCATATACCACAATAATTAATATTATTAATTATTATTAACAGGTATTGCACTGTGCAGCCCTAAATCTAAAGTTCACAGGGTTTAAAGAACAGAAACACCTGCACATTCACACTCACCTTCCTCTGCATCTGGTCCTGAACGTTCTGCATGAGTCTGGTCATCTCGTCCACTTTAGCGGTGGCGGTTCTCAGATCCTGCTTCGCTTGCCTGAAACACAGACGGTTTAGTTTAGAAATCTCTCAGACTGTGCAACCACATCCACAGCTCGCTAAGACGCTGCAGCTGTACCTGCACTCACTGTCCACCTTATCAGCTCCACTGACCGTATAGTTTCACTCTGTAGTTCTACAGTTACAGACTGTAGTCCATCTTCTCTGCACTCTGTTCTTCAGTGGTCAGGACCCCCACAGAGGAGCTATTCTTTGGGTGGTGGATCATTCCTGATGTGGTTTTGGTGTGTTAGTGTGTGTTGCGCTGGTGCGAGTGGATCAGACACAGCAGTGCTGCTGGAGTTTTTAAACACTGTGTCCACTCACTGTCCACTCTATTAGACACTCCTACCTTGTCGGTCCACCTTGTAGATGTAAAGTCAGAGACGATAGCTCATCTGCTGCTGCACAGTTTGTGTTGGTCATCCTCTAGTCCTTCATCAGTGGTCACAGGACGCTGTTGGCTGAATATTTTTGGTTGGTGGACTATTCTCAGTCCAGCAGTGACACTGAGGTGTTTAAAAACTCCAGCAGCACTGCTGTGTCTGATCCACTCAGACCAGCACAACACACACGAACACACCACCACCACGTCAGTGTTACTGTAGTGCTGAGAATGACCCACCACCCAAATAGTACCTGCTCTGTGGGGGTCCTGAACATTGAAGAACAGAGTGCAGAGAAGATGGACTACAGTCTGTAACTGTAGAACTCCAGAGTGAAACTATACGGTCAGTGGAGCTGATAAAATGGACAATATCAAACTAAATGAGCAAAAAAATACCATATTTAAGTTTGTTTATACATATGTGTATGTATGTATATATATGTATACACACACACACACACACACACACTGAAACACTCCTTATAACTTCAGCGTGAGTGAGTGGGGCTAAACTGCTGTAGGCTGAAAAGGTGGCTGCCTACATGTAAACGTGTTACAGAACCAATGAATTCAAAACAGCTTAGATTCCATATATGGACTGTATGGATTGGAGAGTAAATGTTTTGTGAACTTTAAAAGGTGTTTACATAAAACATTAAACTTCATTAAAACACGGGAAAATCTGAGTTTTCCATGATGTGGCCCTTTAATATATGTTTACCTGAGCTGAGTGCGGAGCTCCTCCAGTTCACTGCTCTGCTCTGCGATCGTCTTCAGGAACTGCTGATTGGTCTGAGTGTGACATGACAGACATGATCGCCGTGGAGACATCGCAAGACACACACACACACACACACACACACACACACACACTCCGACAGCAGAGAGAGAGCTAACTACAGAGTGAAGAGAAAAGACCTACAGGTAAGAATAGATGGACAGGTATGAAAAAGAAAGAAAAAGAGAGAGAGGGAGGAGGGTGAGGGGAGAGAAAGAAAGGAAAGAAGGGAGAGAGAGGGAGGGGAAAGAGGAGGAGGAACTCCACCCTTATTAAATATTGATCAGTGGTGTAATATTTCTGGGCGAGGGAGAGACTGAAGAACAGGGAGAAGCCCGTTCAGGGGAGGAATTAAAGGATTACAGACTTACGCAACTGTGCTCTGTTAACAGACGGCCTTAAAGGAGAAGTTCACTCAGTGATGCTGGCGTTTCTAAGTAGGACTGTACGATAAACCATACTGTTTATCATTATTGTGATGTTAAAGTCACTGTTAAGGGCTGCGATTGCGGGACGGATCAGATCACTCCACTTCTGTAACACACAGTAGATCTCCGGCGTGGAGAACGAGTGACCACCACTTTAAGGAAGTGATGGTTCAGTAGAGGTGGGCGATACGGCAGAATATAATATTGCGATACTTCAAGAAAGCCAGCAGGACTACATTTAGAAGAAATGATCAGGGGGCCTCCAAGTAGCACAACCTTCGAAGTTAGGCTGGTCAAACTGGGGACCCTCCAGGCCAAAGTACTGTGGAGATCAGCGTTTAACCTCATCTGATGCTCCGAACTGAGTTCATGAAGGCCGTTATTAGCTGATGTGCTGAGTCAGGTGTGTTTAATCAGGCAGTTTGCTGAAGTCTGCAGGGTTTTGGCCCGCAAGGACTGGAGCCTGACGCACGTGATCTAAGTGTTGGCCCCATCATCAGGAGATTGTGAGTTCGATCCCTGGTGATGCTACAGCTGTCCGTGGCCGGGAGTCCAGGAGAGCACAAAAAAAAACTGCGTACACAACAATTTTTATTCAATACTCGGCAGTTAAACTGGACTAATTTTACTCTCTTAGTAATGGAAAATGCAGTTGGTCAGTGTCTACAGGTACTCACACAACTGTACTATGACGTAATATATCATGATTATGATACACCTTGTTCTATGGCCCAGCCCTACGTTTATAACAGATATATAGATATTAAAATGTGAGATTTTGTCTGTTTAAGTTTTAAGCCCTACTGGAGCTGGATTAGTTTTCCCGTAGAAGGTCCGGTAATGTAATCTGCGCGTGATTTGACTGGCTGATACATACAGGATAAAGATTCTCAATTTACTCTAAATAGCCCAGATTGAAACATCATCGTGCAGACATTTACGTCAGCATTATGCGACGAGCGCCACATGTCCAAACAATAACAACACGCTACGCGGCTAACCGGCAAACAGACTCGCATTAGGCTTGTACGATTCAGTCAACTCACCAAATGCAGGACAGAAAACGTCCTGCCTTACGAGAACTTTAGGGAGCATTTGTAGTTGAGTGTCCCTGTCTTAGCGATTCAGCCATCAACAAAATGTTTTTATTGAAAAGTTGTGTCATGAAGCTGAGGATTATAGAACTGGGTCAAATCAAGCTCCATTTGAGCTGTTAACTTCGATGTCAGGTCAAAAAAAGGAGAGGGTGTTTTCCATTCGCTGGTTTTATTACGTTACTGAGATGTCGATTCTAGCAGGGCTGCTGTTACTGAGGAGCTCAGAGTTCAGCCAGTTACAGAAGGTGATTCAGTCACTGATTCGCTGACTGTAAAAACTACACATCACAGATTCATACTGGATTAAAATCACAGATCTCATCGGTTATCACTCAAATTACAGCACCTCCCTAATCCGCTCCATCAGGGCCTCAGGGAGTGCATTAACATGCACTTAATAATCAGATAACTGCAGAAAATCAGATTGTCAGTAATATGATCACGTTTATATGCACTTAATAATCTGATAACTGCAGAAAATCAGATATTGTCAGTAATCCAATCACATTTATATGCACTTAATAATCTGATAACTGCAGAAAATCAGATTTTGTCAGTAATCCAATCACGTTTATATGCACTTAATAATCTGATAACTGCAGAAAATCAGATACTGCCAGTAATCCAATCACGTTTATATACACTTAATAATCTGATAACTGCAGAAAATCGGATATTGTCAGTAATCCGATCCCGTTCACATGCACTTAATAATCTGATAACTGCAGGAAATCAGATTTTGTCAGTAATCCAATCACATTTACATGCACTTAATAATTTGATAACCGCAGGAAATCAGATTTTGTCAGTAATCCGATCACGTTTATATGCACTTAATAATCTGATAACTGCAGAAAATCAGATATTGCCAGTAATCCAATCACGTTTATATACACTTAATAATCTGATAACTGCAGAAAATCGGATATTGTCAGTAATCCGATCCCGTTGACATGCACTTAATAATCTGATAACTGCAGGAAATCAGATTTTGTCAGTAATCCGATCACGTTTACATGCACTTAATAATTTGATAACTGCAGGAAATCAGATTTTGTCAGTAATCCGATCACGTTTACATGCACTTAATAATCTGATAACTGCAGAAAATCAGATATTGTCAGTAATCCAATCACATTTATATGCACTTAATAATCTGATAACTGCAGAAAATCAGATACTGCCAGTAATCCAATCACGTTTATATACACTTAATAATCTGATAACTGCAGAAAATCGGATATTGTCAGTAATCCGATCCCGTTCACATGCACTTAATAATCTGATAACTGCAGGAAATCAGATTTTGTCAGTAATCCAATCACGTTTACATGCACTTAATAATTTGATAACTGCAGGAAATCAGATTTTGTCAGTAATCCGATCACGTTTATATGCACTTAATAATCTGATAACTGCAGAAAATCGGATATTGTCAGTAATCCGATCCCGTTGACATGCACTTAATAATCTGATAACTGCAGGAAATCAGATTTTGTCAGTAATCCGATCACGTTTACATGCACTTAATAATTTGATAACTGCAGGAAATCAGATTTTGTCAGTAATCCGATCACGTTTACATGCACTTAATAATCTGATAACTGCAGGAAATCAGATTTTGTCAGTAATCCGATCACGTTTACATGCACTTAATAATCTGATAACTGCAGGAAATCAGATTTTGTCAGTAATCCGATCACGTTTACATGCACTTAATAATCTGATAACTGCAGGAAATCAGATTTTGTCAGTAATCCGATCACGTTACATGCACTTAATAATTTGATAACTGCAGGAAATCAGATTTTGTCAGTAATCCGATCACGTTCACATGCACTTAATAATCTGATAACTGCAGGAAATCAGATTTTGTCAGTAATCCGATCACGTTTACATGCACTTAATAATCTGATAACTGCAGGAAATCAGATTTTGTCAGTAATCCGATCACGTTTACATGCACTTAATAATTTGATAACTGCAGGAAATCAGATTTTGTCAGTAATCCGATCACGTTTACATGCACTTAATAATCTGATAACTGCAGGAAATCAGATTTTGTCAGTAATCCGATCACGTTTACATGCACTTAATAATCTGATAACTGCAGAAAATCAGATTTTGTCAGTAATCCGATCACGTTTACATGCATTTAATAATCTGATAACTGCAGAAAATCAGATTTTGTCAGTAATCCGATCACGTTGACATGCACTTAATAATTTGATAACTGCAGGAAATCAGATTTTGTCAGTAATCCGATCACGTTTACATGCACTTAATAATCTGATAACTGCAGAAAATCATTTTTTGCCAGCTTTACAACCAGCCAATAAACTCACAGAAGAAGACGTGACGTAAACGTAACATCAAACTTCATACCCCGTATTTTAAATATCGCGTGACTGAGAAATGCGAAAGAAATCAGTAAGAGTTTATATGCACTGAGAAATCTGATTACTGAGCTAAAATCCAGCCTCTTTATCAGATTTCTTAGTCGGATTTCTAGATCAGATAACTGCAGAAATCTGATTATGATCAGATTACTGAATGCCTGTAAACACTCAGTGTGAGCACTAAGATCTGGATCATATCAGTCGGTAAAGTAAAGCCCTAAAACTAAAACTACTGGAGTCGATAAATAATTATCAGCCAATATTATCAGGTGTCAGATTTTTTTTGGGCCCTAGAATTAGTAGATTCAGTAGTAGATGCAAATCAGACAGGGTGGTTTTCTTACTGATTCTAAGCTCTGATTGGCTGCCTGCAGTTTCTGGGCTTGCTGTTGGACCTGCGCCAGCTGATTCTAGGAGAGAAAAAAGACATTAATAAATAGTAACAATATATAATAATAATAACTACAACATTTTTTATTTACAACTTTTCACACATCACTCACAGATTCAAGTGATAATTAGATAATTTTACTAAGAAAAAGGAATAAAATTTACAAACATAATAAAGCTGATTAATCTTGGGTTCAATGGTGTGAATGAGAAATTGGAAACAGCAAATATCTTTGCAAAAATGTAGAAAATAAGAAAGAAAACAAAAGTAAAAATAACGTAAAATACAGCAGAACTAGAACCAGGATAAAAGAGCAGGACATACAACACAATCATTTGGAATCACTTTTCATATAAATTATATTTTTTAAGCGTGCAATAATGCACAGAATGCAGATTTCAATACGCTGGACTAGACGACGAAGGGACTTTCATATGTTTTATTAAATATGTAAAATAAATATAAAATAAATATTTTATTAAATAGCCATAATAAACAGCAATTTAATCATTATCTCATGTTAACGACTTCGTTAATGACTGTTAATAATTATATAATATTCATATGCATTAATAAATGGCACCATTTGAATTATTAACTATTCATTTAAAAATACTCAATTGTTATTTTCAGTTGTAGAAACCTAATCATTAATATTATGGTTTGTAAGTAATTACTTTTAAAAATAAAATAAATATTAAGCACTTACAGTAAAAGCTGCATTAATTTAGTTCATAATTATGACAAATGAATGAAGTGATTAAGCAGTTGTTTACAGTATGTCTACTTTGTGATGCTCTCTTTAATACAGACATGGTTAATTTATACTTTTTAAATACATTAATATGATTAATTGGGCCCTATTATATAATATAGTTACAAAAATAGACTATTATTAATTACACTTATAAACATTAATGAAAAGCAGTGCTCTAATTATTTACAAAGCTTTATTTATTAGCTTGTGTCGTTAAGTAAATCGTTAATAACTAAATTAAATTATTAACCATCATTAACAAACTATCAGATAATGATTAAGTTGTTATTTAAAAGAGGCTCTTATTATAAAGTGTTTTTTTTATCTGCTATCTGCCTCACTTTTGAAATACCAGACACAACAGATATTAATTATTATAACTTCATTCAGTCCTTTTAGAATCATCCACACCTCATTATTCTGGTCACATTAACGTTTCTTCAGTTTATTTAGGTATTTATTCTACAGCTTTCCAGATATTTGTACTTTTATAATCTCCTATTGCACAGAACTATATGGTATTTTATAATAAATTTATACGTTTATCTGCAAGAATTCATTTGTATTATTAGAAACTCAAATCAAAATTAGAGGATTTGGTTCTTATGTTAAGATTCAGCTTTGATCTATAAACCTTTACACTGTTTAAAACTCCTGTATAACTAAGTAATGATTATGGCGCCCTCTGGTGATCAGATGTGTGAATGCAGTTGCTGCCCTCTAGTGTTCAGTGACTGTCTCTGTGTGTGTGTGTGTGTGTACCTGAGCTTGCTGCCGTTCGGCTGTGTGGATCTGTCCGTCTCTCATGGTGCTCTGGTAGAGTTTCTGCAGTCGGTCCAGCTCCTGCGCAGCCGCCTGCCACATCTGCAGAGCTCGCTCTTTCTCCTGCAGCCACGGCAACACACACCATCGCAGTCACAACCACCAGTGAACCTACACGAGTCTTCTGAGTCTATATGGAATGTTGATGATGGAAAATAGTGGAAAATCTGAAATAATAAGTTTTCTTTGGGGACTATTTTGCCTCACAGCGCCCTGCATGTATCCCTCCACCATGAATGGAGTTTAAGTTCTCTAAACTATCATAAAACAGTGTCTCAGTGCATCAGGCAGTGAATTCATAACCATTTTATAACTTTGTGAGCTTTTAAAGGTGGACGTCTGGTTCCTATCTCTCTCTCTCTCTCGTTCTCTCTCTCTAAATTAAATCATGGTGAAATTTGAAATTTTATGGTACACTGAACTGTGCCTTAACGAATCCAACTGAATCAAAACATGGAAATCCAAGATGCACTGAATCAATTCCTAAATAAACGAACTGAACCGAATCACAGTGAAGTTTAAGATTTCTTAGTGAACTGAGTGGTTTTCTAAAGAACTGAACTGAATCAAGTCTTGGTGAAATATGAGATGTTACAAAGGTTACACTGAATCATTTCCTAAATAAACTATATAATTTCCAAAAGAATCAAATTGAATTGAATCATGGTGAAGTTCGAGATTTCTTGATTAACTGAACAGTTTTGTAAAGAACTAATTAGAATCAAGTCGTGAATGAAATTTGTGGTACACTGAATCATTTAAGAATCAAACTGAACTGAATCATGGTGAAACCATGGGGAAATCTGACATTTTATGCTACACTTAACTGTGCTCTAAAGAATCAAACTGAATCAAAACATGGAATTCTAACAATCAATGTTTTTGAAAGAACCAAACTGGATTGAATCATGGTGAAGTTTGAGATCTGAGGCTTGAGGTTTTATAAGGAACTCAATCTTTTCTTAAAGTATCAAATGGAATCATGGTGAAGTTTGAGATTTCATGAAAGCACTGAATCATTTTCCTAAGAATCAAACGGCTGAAACTGGAGATTTATATATATATAGATAGATAGATATAGATGTATGTATATATAGATGTGTGTGTGTGTATATATATATATATATATATATACCAAGATCTGAATGACTTGTACATAAAGGCCATTTCGACTGGAAATCTACTGTACATTAGTGTATATACATGTGAATACAAAGTCTGTGTACAAGACAGAACCAAACACACACACACACACACACGCGTCTAGAGCACTAGAGCTCCTGCTGAAGACTCATTCACTACCATCCCATTAACCTCAGACATCAAGTGTTGCCATCTAATCTCACACACACGTGTAGCTCCTGCTGATGACTGACATACTAATATCCCATTAGCTTCATATGTCAAGTGCGGCGCTCCAATCAGCATTAGCAGCTAAAGAGCGCTCCAGGCTGATTACAGAGGCTCCACCGGAGCCCTACGGGACTCGTCCAAAAGTCTGGAAATGTCACGGGTTCTCCTGGTTCACGGTGACGTAAAAGGACCTACGCTGGTTTGTACTCATCAGTGCAGGTTAGTAAAGGTCATGTATTGTTGTAACTGAGGATATTGTGAAGCTGTGAGGGTGTAGAGTTAACAGAGTGTCTTCTAGATCAGAGTTTCTCAACCGCTGGGCCGCAGACCACAAGAGTCGCGCCCTCTAGTGGTCCGTGGGAATAGACTCAGCGGGGAGGAAGCTCGTACTGGGCCGGTAACGGCAATTCAAGTCATAAAAACAAGCCAAAAAAATGAACTTAATAATAAGTAAGATCGCAAAATCAAACATTTTTCAAATTCTAAACAAGATAAATAGGAGTAAACTAGTTAAACATCGTCAGCCCATGCAGCCGCGAGCGCGCAATGCAGATAATGTGAGATAGAAAAGTTCTTCAAGGTGCTTTCACAGCTATTTTGTTCGGTCAAACTTTTTCTTTAGATCGGTCCGTTTTGACCATTTGTGCCAACACGTCACCTGTACTCAGGGTCGCACCAAACCATTCTCCAGTGAAAACTGCAGGTCTCTGTCTACTTCCGAGTGATGATTCACACCAAACGAGGGGCGTCAACATCAGCCTTTCAGTGCTTTTCTCCTCTTTTAGCAGCGCATCAGAGCTGCACCGTCCACGTAATCTGTCCATTTTCACATCTGACTCTCTATAGACATTCATGTCGTTCCTGCAGCGCAAGCTGCCGCTAATAACAGCACAGACATAAAATAATCGCAAGGATGTGCACTTTGAAACACGGACACACAAACGGATTTCTGACCGAGCAACTGGGTAAACCCTGACTGATAAACCAGTCATAAAAAAAGCAGAACAGCTTAGCAACCACCTGGAATACCACAGCAACAGCCTAGCAACACCTTAGCAACCATCTGTCTAGCAACAGTAGCAACCACCTGGAATACCACAGCAACAGCCTAGCAATACTTTAGCAACCATCTGTCTAGCATCACTAGCAACCACCTGGAATACCACAGCAACAGCCTAGCAATACCTTAGCAACCATCTGTCTAGCATCACTAGCAACCACCTGGAATACCACAGCAACAGCCTAGCAATACCTTAGCAACCATCTGTCTAGCATCACTAGCAACCACCTGGGATACCACAGCAACAGCCTAGCAATACCTTAGCAACCATCTGTCTAGCATCACTAGCAACCGCCTGGAATACCACAGCAACATCCTAGCAATACCTTAGCAACCGTCTGTCTAGCATAAAAAAAAAACTCCAGCAGCACTGCTGTGTCTGATCCACTCAGACCAGCACAACACACACTAACACACCACCACGTCAGTGTTACTGCAGTGCTGAGAATGACCCAACCACCCAAATAGTACTGCTCTGTGAGGGTCCATGGGGGTCCTGACTAGATGGACTACAGTCTGTAACTGTAGAACTACAAAGTGCACCTATATAGTAAGTGGAGCTGATAAAATGGACAATGAGCGTAGAAACAAGGAGGTGGTCAGAATGTTCTGCCTGACCAGTGTAAATATACACACCCACGCTTTATGAGCGAATGCCTTTACTTTCAAAGTGTATTTCTTACTTTTGACAGCTTCCCGTATTTTAAAATGTGGAATATAGTACAATATAAAGAAACCCTGTTATGACAGCTGCATCCAAATGTTTGACTGGTACTAAAATAGATATGAAAAAAATATATTTTGTGTAAAAATGTGGAAATCTCTTATTAAATATCATGAGTGTGAGTGACGCATCACTAAAAGTTGGTAATTCTAGATTGAATTAAGATATATGAGAAATATTTTTGGCGTATTTGGGTAATTTTATTACATAGAAAATGAAAGAAACGTGTTATTTACCTCAACAGCACACTTGACCTGCTCTTCCAGGTTGCTAACGGCAACCGCATCCGTGGCAGCATCCTCCTCCACTCCCACAGAGAGAGCCTGCAGCTGCCTTTCTACAGAGACCCTCTGCTCCGCATGGAGGCTGCAGAGACACACGACCGCGGGGAGCTGCTCAGTAGTCTAGAACAGACCTGGTTACACGCTTACAGACACTGTGCGACACATACTGTGTTTAAAAACCCTTAAACTTTCTTGATGCAGTGAACTGTTTCTTACAAAATCATTCTTATGTATCTTTTAAAAATGACTCAGCGCTGAACTGAGGTGTAATTTGAGATGACAAGTCTTCGAATGATTTCCTAAAGAACCGAACTGAACCAAATCGTGTCGAAATTTGATATGATGCACAGAATCATTCACCCAAAAATCAAAGTGATTCAAAATCGTTTTTCGTAGTCAATGTCACAATGCACCGAATCGTTTCCTAAAGAACTGAACCGAATCATGGTGAAATTCGAGATTTCATGACGCAATGAATCACTTACAACAGAATCAAACTGATTTGAATCACAGAGAACATTTAAATTAAATGATACTGAATGAAACACACTGAATCATGTCTCTAAGAATCACACTGAATGAAGAAGTGTCAAGATGTACAGAATCATTTTGGAAAGACTCAAACAGAACTGAATCATGGTGAAATGTGAGATTTCAGAATGCCCTGAACAGTGCCTTAAAGAATCAAACTGAATCAAAAGGTGGAGTTTCAAGACGCACTGAATCCCTAAACAAACCACACTAAACCATGTTGAAGCTTGAACCTTGATGAAAAGAATCAAACTGAATCAAATCACAGTAAACTCAGATTTCATGATGCACCAAATTTGAATAGAATTTAAGATTTCTTGATGCACTGAATCGTTTCCTAAAGAATCAAACAGAATCACTGTGAAACTGTGCGTCCTAAACAATCACACTGAATCAAAACATGGAATTTTAGATGCACTGAATCATTTACTGAAGAATCAAACAGAATCACTGTGAAACTGTGTGTCCTAAACAATCACACTGAATCAAAACATGGAATTTTAGATGCACTGAATCATTTACTGAAGAATCAAATAGAATCACTGTGAAACTGTGTGTCCTAAACAATCACACTGAATCGAAACACGGAATCTTTAGATCGTGAATCGTTTCGTAAAGAATCAAACTGAACTGCTTTAAGGTCGGAGTTTGCAGTGGGATTCTGTTCACCGTACTGTCTGTGAGTAAACAGACAGCTGGCCAAGCTGCTGCTGGAGCATTTCAGTGATAGAAGAACAGAAATATATCAGTGGCACATTTGTTCATCCGTTCATTCATTCGTTTACCGTTCGTTCTCTCGGACCACCTGCTCCAGACTGGCCTTGACATCCGCCATCTGCCTCTGTCACCAAACAGACAGGAGAGAGAAACTCAGATTAAACCTTACAGACTGAGAGAAGTCAGGTTTAGTCCTGAGGGGCTGCTGGGTTTCAGCATTATATCATCATCATCATCATCATCATCATTAACCGCTTAGTCCAGACAGGGTCATGGTAGCAGTTAGGAGAGCAGAGAATCCCAGACGACTTCCTCCAGCTCATTCCAGGAGACCCCCAGCCGGTCCCAGGCCAACTTGGAGACATAATCCCTCCAGCGGGTCCTGGGACGACCCCGGTGTAGGCCGTGTCTGGTAAACCCCCACCGGGAGGCGTCCAGGGGCATCTCATTCTTTCGGTCATTACCCACAGCTCATGACCACAGGTGAGGGGGGACGTAGACTGACCGGTGAACAGAGAGCTCTGCCTTATGGCTCAGCTCCCTCTTCAGCACTACAGTCCGGTACAGTGACCGTGTCTGACCCAGCCTGTGGCCGATCTCCCCAGCCCCCGACCCATCACTCACCAACAAGACCCTGAGATAGTTAAACCCCACCACCTGGGGCAGCTCCTCTCCCTCACCTGCAGGGGCATGACATCCTTTTTAGACGAGGACCATCCCTCCTTTCATTTTCTCTCTCCTTCTATTCTTTCTCTCTTCTATTTTTCTTTCCCCTTCTATTCTTTCTTTCTTCTATTTTTTTCTCTCCCCTTTTATTCTGTCTTTTTTTCCTTCTATTTTTCTCTCTACTTTCATTCTTTCTCTCTTCAATTTTTTGCTCCTCTTCTTACTTTCTTTCTATTGTTTTCTCTCCCCTTTTATTCTCTTTTTTCCTTCTATTTTTCTCTCTACCTTCATTTTTTCTCTCTTCAATTTTTCGCTCCCCTTCTTACTTTCTTTCTTCTTTTCTCTCTCCCCTTTTATTCTTTCTCTCTTCTATTTTTCTCTTTCCCCTTCTTTATTTCTCTTCTGTTTTTCTCTCTCCTTCTTTCTTTCTTCTATTTTTCTTCTCTCCTCTTCTATTCTTTCTCTTTCTTTGTTACTTCCATTTTCTCTCCCCTTCTATTCTTTCTTTTTCTTTCTATTCTTTCTTTGTTCCTCTCTTCTTTGCTCGTTCCCCCTTTTTTGTTCTTTCTGTCTCTCTTCTTCTTTTTCTCTCCCCTTCTATTCTCTCTCTCTCTCTATGTGAAATGTAATGTCTCTCTCTCGTGCTCCGGCTGATTAACAGTGTTTTGAATCTGTGAGAAGTTTTTACAGAGTTTGTTCTGTAATGATGGAGTTTTGTTCTCACAGCTAATTTAAATGTGGCCCAGAAAGTAATAAAGTCAAAACACAAAAACACTGAAATCTTTCAAAGCTGAACATAAAAACGCGTTTAAAAATTCATGTAAACGTATTTATGTAAAAGTGTATGTAAACTGTGCTTTAAAGCCTTTAAGTACAAATCAATATCAGCTGTGTTTTTGCTGTAAGGGCTTAAATTACCACACAAACTCAGCCTGATCATAAAACCTGACACGGTCTTCCTTCATCAGAGCACCGGAACGTGAAAATAGATCAGTATTATTACCCTGACAAACTGCGTCACGCCATTATTTTCTGAGTCTGTACTTCCAAACCACTGAACAACTGCACTGATCATTAAAACAGGCAGATTTAAACAGTATAGAGGCTTTTTAAATGAAACAGTAGAAGCCATATCGCCCCCTACACTTCCTGTAGTGTATTACAGTCTGTCAGAGTGACTGTGTGGATCATATGAACATTATACAGGCTTTTTAAATGAAACAGTAGAAGGTTTCAGCTAATGCAAAATATTGCTTTTCTTCAGCTAAACTAAACTTTGACGTTGTATTGTGTCGTTTATAGTATTTAAGCCGTTAAATTGCTTTTGATCACATAACAGTCTCCACTTTTCTACCTGGTAAGAAGCAATTCTGACAGCTAGAATTGCTGGTTTGCATGAGAGACATTAACAAATTACATTAATCCGTTTAAAATGAAATGGAGAGGGACTGTAAAATAAAACAAACAAGGATAAATATGATTTCTGCTCTTATGAATGTTTGTGTACCTGGTAGAGTTTGAGCTGAGCCTCCATCTGCTGCATGTGTCGGTCGTACTCCGCAATCAGAGGAGCCATAATGCTGAAATACACAAACATCAACCACAAATAACAAATTTAGCTGACGTACACGCTGTGTTCACTAGGTATTAGCAGGGATGAAATGATATGACTCCCGTCTGATACAGACACCTATGGCTTAAGTATCAGCAATACAGAGTAAAACTGCCCCCTTAGCTACTAAATCAAACAGTTAATCAAATTCAATTAACTATTGGGTTCTATTTCACTGGCCACACCCAGGCATGATTACTGCCCGACCTATTGAATCTAAACATCACTTAAATAGAACCTGTCTGGCCATGTGAAGCAGCTAGAAGGTCTCAAAAAGCAGCACATCATGCCTCGTTCTAAAGTCACTGAAATCTACGAGCCACCAAAAGGACATCATACCAACAGTGAAACATGGTGGTGGTAGTGTGGTGGTTTGGGTTTGCTTTGCTTTTGCAAGACCCGGACAACTTCATAACTGATGGAACCATGAATTCTGCTCTCTATCTGAAAATCCTGCCCGTCGGTTCGTAACCTAAAGCTCAAGCGCAGTTGGGTCATACAGCAGGACAATGATCTGATGCACACAAGCAAGTCCACCTCTGAATGGCTCTAAAGAAGCAAATGAAGGTTTTTCGAGTGGCCGAGTCAAAGTCCTGACCTGAATCCCACCCAGATGCTGCGGCAAAACCTTAAACGGTCAGTTTATACTGGAAAACCCTCCAATGTAGCTGAATTAAAGCAATTCTGCAAAGAGGAGCAGGACAAAATTTCCTCCACAGCGACTGACTGCAGGTTAAGGGGCAATCTTTTTTTTTCCTCATGGGTGACGCAGGTATGAATGACTTTATCTTCAATAAACGGAATAATCATTTAAAAGTTGTCATCTTATATAAAAATTAGTTGGATGATCTGAAGCATTTAAATATGGCAAATGATTTGGAGGCAAATACTTGTTCACAGCACTGTATATGTACACACACACACACACACACCATATATATATATATATATATATATATATATATATATATATAAAATCAGCCATAAGGCAACATCTGAATTTATTCACATTCATGGATTTCTGCTTGTTGTAAAAAGAGTCTATCACTTTCATAGTAACATACCAACAATATTCAGTTCTGAGGATCAGTAAGCTAAACCCAGAGCTCAACATGAAAATCTACAGGAGCTGAAACAGCTTTTATTACTGTTGAGTTTAATTCAGCGTAATGGAATTAAAGCAGTTTATTTTACCTCATGAAAAAACAGGAGCTTTTCTTCTGTAGCAAAATATTTCTAAACATGTTTAAACACTTTTTCAGAAATACTTTTTCATTTTTAAAGATGCGACAGCCAACGACCGTCCCAAAAAAACACTCATTACATACAAAAGTACATGTACTGATAACTTCGCTGGAAATCATTAGTTATTTTAGATACCCTTTCACTGTTTCTCTGAAATTCAAAAAGTTGGAACAGACCAAAAATAGAATCTGTAGTGCCATATATAAAAGTACTATAATAATAAGAAGAAGAATAAGAAAAACAATGAAAATTATAACAATAATAATAAACCACCAACTATGATTTTACTGCACTGAATCCAGTCCACAGGCCTGATTATCATATGATGAAAACATGAAGGCCCAGTCCCATCTCTTCTTTTTACCCCTACCCCTTGTTTTCGAGTGTCACTCTAACCCCTTGGAACTGAGTTACAGGGTAGTGGTTGAAATCTTCCCTCTGAAATGGGACCCTCAAATAAAAAGAGCATCACTTCATTAACAGCTACCAGTGCTGCTCTGTAGGCGACCCTGCCAGTCTGCAGTGACAGCAGAGGAGGGTAAAGTTCAGCTCCTCACTGCTGGGCTTTAGTTACATTTAGGGCATCATGTGATCTTCAAAGAGGGGGGCAATTATTTATTATCACCCACCCCTAATTTTTCAGTGATATGGAGCTGAAGTCAGATATTCACCAGATTCTTGGTCAAATTTTCCCGTTCCACCTTAAATGGTGCAGCAATTACATTCTGGTGCTCTGGGGCGAGGGGTGAAATGGGATTGGGCTGTAGTGTGTTCTTTAAGTAAGGATAATCTGCTCGATATGCTCAGAAAAGCATATTTTATCACAATAACGATTAAATTCAGTCACGCTGCCCAACCAACATCATATCTGTGTGAGTGGACTCACCCTCTGTCTGTGAGCCACGGTGCTGTAGACTCAGATCCCACATCTTCAGCCTAAACACAGTAAACACAGAATATACAAACACATTTATGGCCAATTTCACAGTTACATAATGAAACAGCTCGATCAGATATACTAACAGAAACTGGACTGGTTTCCTCTAAAGAAAAGCATTTCACTCAGATTAAATATTCAGATTTGGCAATACTCGAAAAACATCCCGATAACAGACAGAGCTCAAAGTCACACACGGTCAGATCTGACTGGAAAACAGCCGCATGCAAATTTCACCCAGTTTGTCATTGACTGGTCATCATCTTTGGCGTATCTGTATAATCAAACTACAGCTGAGTTCCAGAGCACTTCCGCATTAACGGCAGAAAACGGCTCATTTTTAAATACGTAAAGCATGTGGATGTAAAGCAATCTGGAGTTTCTCCAGCACTATTAGCACAACCGTATATGCTGTATATCAGCACAGCAGTTGCTTTTGTGTGCATCATTTAAAGAGAAGATAAACAGTTGTGAACCCACAACAGCAGGACCCAACCAGCACATGGCAAACCAACATTCACGGTACCACCTTCCAAACCCAGAGACGACGAAGTACATTAGCATTTACGTTGAGTTACTCTGCGCTGACCTGCATTACTAGTTAAATGCTATATTTTGACACTTGGGCCTGATGGCAGTTCACCTCTCGCCCCTACTCAGCCCTCGTTTTGCATGTTCTCGTGTCTAGGGGTAGGGTGTCCTGATTCTTGTTGAGATGGAGGGGGAGGGCGAAGTGTTGGGGCTACATGACCCTCCAAACTGAGGTTTTTCAGAGACTCCAAACAGAGAAAAAAGGAAAAATGGAGAACAAGAGACCAAAGAAACCCACAAATGTGAGAATTTTCTCTGTACAAAAATTACGATAACCATCATATTATCTTAGTTTAATGTCATTTCAGGGTATTTTGGTCGTTTCCTTCATAACAAGCATAAAAAAAATCACTAGTACTATGCTAATGTTTCGGTAGCTCGCTAGCTAACTTTCCCGTTCCACCTTAAATAGTCCAGCAGTTCTGATGCCTGAAGCGCCAGAATGTAACTGCTGCACCATTTAAGGTGGAACGGGAAAATTCGACCAAGAATCTGGTGAATATCTGAATTCAGCTTCATATCACTGAAGAATTAGGGGTGGTGATAATAAATAATTGCCCCCCTCTTTGAAGATCATATGATGCCCTAAATGTAACTAAAGCCCAGCAGTGAGGAGCTGAACTTTACCCTCCTCTGCTGTCACTGCAGACTGGCAGGGTCGCCTACAGAGCAGCACTGGTAGCTGTTAATGAAGTGATGCTCTTTTTATTTGAGGGTCCCATTTCAGAGGGAAGATTTCAACAACCTACCCCTTGTAACTCAGTTCCAAGGGGCAAGATGACCCTTGAAAACTAGGGTAGGGGTGAACATTTCCCATTTCTTGTTTTTACCCCTACCCTTTGTTTTCGAGTGTTACCCCTTGGAACTGAGTTACAGGTTTCTTTGGTCTCTTGTTCAGCCATCTTGCCGGCTTTTCTTTTTTTCTCACAACACTCCATTTGGAGTCTCTGAAAAACCTCAGTTTGGAGGGTCATGTAGCCCTAACACTTCACCCTCCCCCTCTATCTCAACAAGAATTGGGACACCCTACACCTAGACGTGAACGCTCTAAACGAGGGCTAAGGGCTGAGTGGTGGGGGTGAGGAGTTACTACTATCTCTAGTAGTAACAGTTTTGGGTAAAAAGCTGATGTTTAATGGAAAACACGCTTTCTTTCTCTGATAAAGTTGATATGAATCATAACATAGCATTAAAACTTGTTATTGTATGTACAGAGCATCACATATCATGGGAAAAAAAGATTCTGGAAAGCGGTGTATGATGCGTTTTGGAAGGAAACCCATGTATCTACATGTAAAATCCTGTTTATTACTGTCAGTTGTGTGTTCTTTGTTGGAAATACCTGCGTAAACAAGTTGCCGGAGGGAGAATCCTGGTATCGTCCGAGTGTCGAACTCAGCCGGTTCACTGAAATACAGAAACAGGTTAACAATTGATTTAAACTGTAGGACTGGGGTGATACAGAATTCTGAAAAACAGATAAATCAGGATAAAGTCAGCAATAGTTTTTCTCATTGTTTAAAATGTTTTACGGTAACATTCAGTATATTTAGGGCAGTTTCCATTTAACTCCAACTTAAACTCCATTCATGGTGGAGGGATACATGCAGGGCGCTCTGATTTATTTTTTTTTTCAGACATCTGATCAGCTGGAACAGTGAAAAAAGAACGAGCAGTGTTACATTAAAAAAAAAATACTATTAAAACTTTGAAACGCTGATTTTTTAAATATTTGGCGCTAAATCCAGTTGAACAGGACCAATTTTGCTCTCTTTATAATGAAGCATACAGTTGCTCAGTGTTCGTCAAACACAGACGATACACACAATATGTTTAGTAAAGCCTATTGTATCATAACATTATTTATCACGATAACGATACATACAGTCATACTGCCCAGCACTAAAACAGGCTGCTCTTCTTTTACTGTGCCTTTGGCTTCGTTCACACTGCCAGGCTGACGTGGCACAAATCCGATTTTTTGCCCTAATGTGACTCAGATCTGATGTGAGGTATCCGGTTCGTGGCCATGTGACCTTAATGTGACGCTCAGATCGGAATTCATGTGCTTTTTTCCACTGCTCCATCATTCAGCGTTACCATGGCAGCAGCGCCGAACAGAAGTTAAAGCCTGTAAACGGTGGAAAAGAAGCTCATCTCACCTTTTTCTCCTTCGTCTCGCTCTAATAATGAAGCTGAGAGCTGATCAGAGTTAATGATCTTCACAGCGAAGCTCGTTCTGCTCGTTAGTTTGTGCTGATGATGAACGTGATTCATTCACGTGACGTTACTGAGTAGGATTTGAGTCACTTACCTAAACGAGTGAACCATCGTGTCGGAGAGATCGGATCTGAGCAAGAAATCGGATTTGAGCAGTGAGGCTTGTAATGTGAACCTAGTACTTAAGACTGATTTATACTGTATTTAGTTTCCGTATGTGGGCTGTGTGGACTTGGAGAGTGTTCTGAAACTACCAACATTTGCACACCATTTCATTTTTGAAAACACTGGTGAAAACTGTGTGATATGGACCCTTTAATGCAGGGAATTCAGTGGAACCTGGAGGTCAGTGGGAGTCCAGAACCAGGGCCGGGCTACAAACACTTACCTTGGTCTCGGAGGAACTCAATTTCCGATGCCATCGTGGAATTTGACCTTTGGAAAGAAGCACACAGGTTAGCTGGGGTGTATGTGGTATTATTTTGGGTGTGCAGCTGCTGGGCGTCTCCTCATTAGCGGTTTATTGCTTTATTTAATTATTTTTATTATTATCATTAGTTTGTTATCTAAGCATATATATCCTCCCACAGGGCATCAGGGCCATTAATAGAGACAGCTTTACCACCCTGTTTACAGGCCCACACCCAGTACCAGCACTGCTAGTGCATTATAGGGTAAACTGGGAGAAGAAGACCCCGAAGTACAACATGCTGCCCTCTTATTTACAGCTCTGATTAAACAGGATTGGTAAATCTAATCTCGACACACTTATTCAATGGTTACGGCTCAATTCTGTACTACTATATCTATATTTTCTAATCATTATATTGGGGACATTTATTTGATGGCACAAATTAATACACTGAGGCCACAAATTACTATACTGAGAACACAATTTACTACATTTAGGGCAAGATTTACTATACTGAGATCACAAATTGCTATATTGAGGCCACAAATTACCAAACTGAGACCATGATTAACTATATTGAGCCACGAGTTATGAGAAACTTAACTCGTGGCTCAATATATGAATATGTGGTTGAGTTTTACTAAAAAAGTAATAGCCATGTCCCCTTAGAGGCTCCGTAGAATCTACTGAGAGGCCACATTTTTACACAAAAATTGTCATTTTAGCCGGTTTAGCAATAATAAAGTATTTAAAACTCGTGTAAATGCCTTAAACGGTTTCACTTCACAGCAGCAGCCTTCGTGTTTCCAAATATCTGGCTTACAGCGACAAAACCTGACAGAAAACACGAGGCTGGAATCAGCTTCTTTCTCGAATTTTCCCGTTCCACCTTAAGTACCGCAGCAGTAACAGTCTGGCGCCTGAGGCGTTATAGTTACAGCGGCACAATTTAAGGTGGAACGGGGAAATTCGAACAAGAAGGGAAAACAACTTCAGCCTCGTACACACAACTGGGTTTAAAAGGTTAGCCACTCGTTCACACAACCTAATACAGCCTTAAATAACAACATCTAAGAGTATGATAAGCATTTATATGATAAAACGAGGGGAAATAGCTCTAATAAACCGCCGAGTCCGGCAGTGTTTACAGTCAATCAGTGTAACCAGGCGGAGCTGCAGACTGAGATTACACTCATTTTTAAACATTTATCACTCTTTTTAGATTATAACATAACCAAGTACGAGCTGAAATCGCATAAAACATCGACCACGATGAAAAACAAGCCTTAAATCATTATAAAAAGGCTCAATAAAGCAGATTTCCGTGATTTTGTGAGCTAACCTTGCGCCGTCTGTTTGAAGCCAAACCGCTCAGCCAATCAGATTCGCTGCTTAGGCGTGGTGCGCCCCGCAAAACCTTCCCCTCCCCGAGCGAGCAGCGTTTATCGGTTCCGCTTCGGTTATGATTCCAAAAAAACAGTAATTTTTGTATTTTTTTTATTAGTGATGGCGATTTGGCACGAATCTCATCGCCTGAGTGCTACATGTGCCGACCAAAGGTGTGTTTTCTGTGTCTGTTTGCACTAAGAGCAGCTTTAAGTCTCTCTCCGTTTGTACCAGGAAGTTTGAGTCTTGTTTTGAATGGATCATCTGTATGAGTGTGTTTATGATGTGACAGATGATCAGCTGTGGGTTATAAAAGACCTGGAGACCTGCAGTAGATCACAGCCTGATTCGGTCCAGCGGAAGTGGTGAGTTGCTCAAATATCCCTTTATCTTCTCTGTAAAGTTTCATCATTGTTCATATGTAAAGCTCTTTTGTTTGTTTAGTACCAGTTGGCCTTATTAACAGAGCTATACTAGTGTTGTAAGAGCTTATAATGATCTATAATACTCTTATTAAACTCATAACGTTTTGTAATTGTTCATATCTACAGCTCTTTTGTTTGTTTAGTATCTGCTGGCCTTATTAACAGAGCTATATTAGTGCTGTAAGAGCTTATAATGATCTATTATAGTCCTAAAAAACACTCAAAGTTTAGTCATTGTTTACATCTAAAGCTCTTTTATTTGTTTAGTATCTGTTTGCCTTATAAACATAACTATACTAATGCTATAAGAGCTTATAATGATCTATAATACTCTTATAAAACACTCATAAAGTTTCATCATCATTCATATCTAAAGCTCTTTTGTTTGTTTAGTATCTGTTGGCCTTATTAACAGAGCTATACTAGTGCTGTAAGAGCTTATAATGATCTATAATACTCTTATAAAACACTCAAAGTTTCGTCATTGTTCATATCTAAAGCTCTTTTGTTTGTTTAGTACCAGTTGGCCCTATAAACGTGACTATACTAGTGCTATAAGAGCTTATAATGATAGATAATACTCTTATAAAACACTCATATAACTTATAACTCTTATGCTGTATAATGTAGTATCCTGTAGAAAGCTACATTCTCAAATATGGTTCTTCGGTGGTTCTTTAGTAAAGGCAATGGTTCTATTTAGAACCATGAGTTTTGTGTAGAACCATTTGCATGCTTAAATGTTTTTTTTTGCATGGTGAAATGGTTCTTCAGATTGATGGAGAATGTGTTGTATATGGTTCTACACAGAACCTATTCGCAAATGGTTCTACATAGAGCCAAAAAAGGTTCTGCTACTCTTGTGATGTCAATCTTGTATACAGTAGAAGAACACTTTTTGGTGCTACATAGAACCATTAGCAAAAAGGTTCTCCAAGGGTTCTTTAGTAAAGGCAGTGGTTCTATTTAGAACCATGAGAAACAATCATTTGCATGCTTAAATGGTTCTTTATGTGGTAAAATGGTTCTTCAGATTGATGGGAGGCTGTGTTTTGTATGGTTCTATACAGAACCTTTTTGAAAATGGTTCTTTCAAGGGTTCTTTAGTAAAGAAAATGGTTCTAAATAGTATCATCAACACTCAAAAAACCCTTTGCATGATCAGAGAGTTCTTTGCATCATAAAAGCGTTCTTCAGATTGATGGAGATTGTGCTGTACATGGTTCTACATAGTGCCAAAATTGTTCTGCTACTGTTATGATGTCAAGCTAGTACACAATAGAAGAACCCTTTTTGGTGCTACATAGAGACCATTAGCAAAAAGCTTTCATTAACACATTCTCCATCAATCTGAAGAACGATTTTACCATGCAAAGAACCATTTAAGCATGGTTCTATATAGAACTTGTGGTTCTAAACAGAACCATTGCCTTTACTAAAGAACCCTTGAAGAACCATCTCTTTTAAGTGTGATTAATCATTTATAACACTGCATGATGTAGTACCCTGTAGAAAACTATACTCTAGGAAAAAAATGGTTCTCCAAGGGTTCTTTAGTAAAGGCAGACTGAAGTCGGTTCTCCAGGAAACGTCAGGAACGTCTGTTAAAGTGGAAGCTCTTCACCTGTACCTTAACTTGCCGTGAATCAGAGCCACATTTTCCTCCTCAGATGGAGTTCAGCATCCAGCACGTCTGGAACAGCGACCCTGTGGATCACCAGCCGGTGAAGATCCGCTTCTCACCTGGAGACGGAGGCCTGAGGATGGAGGTGTGCGCTCCGTTCTTCGACGACCCACCGGCACCAGCGGGACCACCAGGACAGCCCTTCCCTGGACTCTGGGACTATGAAGGTAGGGGACTTTTATTTTGTATTATATTACTTTTTTTTCCCAGCGTGTATTAATTTATACAATCATTTTCCTGTTAAATAAGACATAAGCCATAACAAAAGTCATAAATAAATAAATAAATAAATAAAATATATAAAAAAAAATAAAAAACAGTGAAAAATACATAAAGTGCATAATAATGCTAAATCATAGATTCCATACATTTGCCAGCAAACAGTAATTCACATTATTTGTTATGAATTGTTCTTAAGGGACTGGATAGTTTAGAACTGATGTGTTAAAAACAGTATTGAACAATAGACAACATTCAGTGTTCCAGGTGGCTGCTAATGTTTTCGCTATGCTAATATACTTTAGCTCATGTTTATAGATAACAGTGAGTTATACAGTGTCAGAAACCACACAATCAAGCCTATTAGAGGCATTGAACACCTCCACACAGTCTGAAGCGAGTGTGTGGTGATTGAAGCCTGAAACTAGCACCATGCTAATTAGAGGGGCGTTAGCCTCACAAGGTCAACAAAATGTATGTTTGGCAACAACTTGTTAAACTTTCGGTGTGAATTCAGCCTCTAATAAGTACACATATGACCCCATCTCCAAATCTGAGCTATTTAATGTCAGGAGTTCAATCGATAACGATCGAAATAAGCTAGTTAGCGAAATGCTATCATTAGCTTGTGAGCTAGCGGGGTTGTTTCTTTAAGAGGTAATGTTTATTTCTACTGCGTTTAATGTGTTTTCCATAAACGCGACTCTGCTGCGAGCACTCCAGTGCCCTTACTGTGAGCTCTGCCTATATGAGCCATTGGATTGGTTTAGTAATAACACTTCTACAGCCCCATTTCCAAAAAAGTTGGGACGCTGTGCAGAATGTAAATAAAAATAAAATGCAATGATATGTAAATCATGCAAACCATATTTTTATATTAAAATACTACAAAGACAACAAATCAAATGTTGAAACTGAGAAATGTTATTGTTTTTTGAAAAATATTTGCCCATTTTGAATTTGATGCCAACAACACGTTCCAAAAAGGTTTGGACGGTGGCCTGTTTACCACTGTGTCTCATCACCTCTTCTTTAACAACACTCTGTAAGCGTTTGGGAACTGAGGAGACACTGCTGTAGTTTTGTAAGTGAAATGTTTTCCTGTTCTTGTTTGATACAGAATTTTAGCTGCTCATCAGTTCAGGGGGTAATTTGTTGTATTTTTCATTTCATAATGTTCCAAATGTTCTCAGTGGTGACAGGTCTGGCCTGCAGGCAGGTCAGTTTAGCACCCGGACTCTTTTAATACAGAGCAATGCTGTTGTAATACATGCAGAATGTGGTTTGACTTGCTGAAATAATCAAGGCCTTCCCTGAAAAAGACGTCGTCTGGATGGCAGCATATGTTGCCAAAACCTGTATATATCATTCAGCATTAATGGTGCTTCACAGATGTGCACGTCACCCATGCCATGTGCACTAATGACCCCTACACCATCATGAATACTGGCTTTTGAACTGTGCACTGATAACAAACTGAGTGGTCTTTAGCCTGGAGGACACAGTGAAGAATTTCAAAATGTTGACTCGTCGGACCACAGGACACTTTTCCACTTCCCCTCAGTCCATTTTAAATGAGCTCAGGCCCAGAAAAGGTGGCACTGTTTATATTTGGTTTCTTGTTGCCAATCAACCACCAGGTATTTTTTTAGCATTACACAACTTTACCAGCCTTTTGTTGCCCCGTCCCAACTTTTTTGGAACGTGTTGCTGGCATCAAATTCAAAATGGATAGATAGATAGATACTTTATTGATCCCGAAGGAAATTTAGCAAATGGGCAAATATTTTTCAAAAAACAATAAAATTTCTCAGTTTCAACATTTGATATGTTCTCTTTGTACTATTTTCAATTAAATATATGGTTTAAGTGATTTGCACATCATTGCATTTTGTTTTTATTTACATTTTGCACAGCGTCCCAACTTTTTTGGAAATGGGGTTGTAGTTTTTTCTCACCCTAATAAGTCTTAGTTCCCCTCACATTTAGAGCAGAACTTCTCATAGTTGTTCCCAGATGTTCTAATTTAAGCTTCCATTACTTCAGTTCGGTTAAACTTATCCCTGCAGGCGACAGAAAAACATAAAAAACACAGGTATGAAAAAGTAGGTCCGTCTGCAGAGACCACAATAAAAGGGTCCAGTTGTCCGTACAGGAAGTGCTAGCATTTAGCCTGAGTGCTGTATGTAAATATAACTTAGCATTACTTGCTAGCTACATTAGCCTCGTAGCTCCAGTGCTAAAACTAAAGAAGTTAAACTGCAGACACCAAACATGTTCTAGCTAATGGCTTACATTTGTGGTGAGGAGGGGGTTAAACTGTCAAAATGAGGTTTTTAAGTGAAGTTTCTGTGTTTTTGCAGTGGTGGAGTCGTTCTTCCTCAACAGCAGCAGCGAGAAATACCTGGAGGTTGAAGTCTGTCCGTAAGTGTTGTTATCAGACAGCGAGTGAAGTACAATAACAGCCATCACTCAAAGTCATATTTCACATCTAACCCCACTGAGTCATCACCTACTGTACTTTACAGACACGGACAGCACCTGGTTCTGCTGCTGAACGGAAAACATAACGCTTTCATGGTGAGAGAAGAAACAGATAACTGCTGTTCTACAATAACGCTGGTGTGAATGTATTTTCAGAGCCATTTACGTCTCCAAAAAGGCTAAAAATGTCAGGTGGTTCGACTGTCCAACCTTATATAATAAAATAGTCTTGTGTGATTTTCTACACTTGAAACCTTTAAAATTCTAACACTTTGCAAATTAATGCAGCTTTAAAAACATCCAAGTCACTGCAAAACTTTTATCTGTAAATTCGGAGTTCCTCAAATGTCACAAACAGCAACAAAGGACTTTTTTTTTGTTCTGACAAGAAAGAGTTGGCAGTGTATCATAAAGATGACTCAACATGACCCCCATGGTCCTTTGGCAAGGTCAGTAGCCTTTTCAAAAGAAAGGTCAGGCGCTGCAACCCCAGCAAAATTATGATGATGTGTAAATTATTCATTTATTTATTATAAATGTGTTTATTTATTTGAAAAGATCTTTGAAGACAAAGGCTTACACAGGTGCCCGAGTACAAGAAGTACTTTTCTGTAGTTATGATTTTTTAATAGTATAATTTATTATAAAATAATATTTTTATTATAAAATAAAGTTTTGTGGTTGCACATTATTTTAAAAACCTGATGGTGGTGTATAAAAATGACTTTTTACCGTTATAGAAGCTACAAAACAAATGTCTGCACTATTATGTAGATTCTTCCAGATACAAAAATGTGGATGATTTTTAATAAGATTTATTTACATAATATTTCATGGAAAAGCCTTTTTTGTCAGTGATCTATGTGTATATGGTTATTTATAGTTTACATATATTACTATATATTAAAAAATCCTTAAATAAACAAGCAAATAAAACGCTTGTCCAGCATTTTTTTGTTTACCAAAAGCAGCAAAAAGAGCTTATCAACTATCCAAAAATAATAGTTACCTATTATAAATAAACACATAAGAAAAAATTGGTAACACTTTCTATGAATGTCATGTTTGTAAGCATCTATAAACACATTTATAACATGTTATAATGCATTCATACGGCATTTTAAACATGATTATAAACATTTATAAAAATGAATTACACTTTATAGCCATGTTTATTGTACATTATGTATTGTTAATAAATGCATTATAAAGTAGTGTTGATAACATGTTATACTGTCAGTGCCAAAGAAGTCAGTCCCAGCTTGGAGAGCGTAAAGTAAAGACAAATACCAAGCTAACGGTGGTGTACATTGACTTTCCCACATTGGGTAAAACACTGATGGCAGCTCTAGTTTAAACTCTGACATTTGAAGCCTGTAATGTGCTTTACTGTGAATGTTTTAGTGTTTCAGTAAATCCTTCAGTAAATACTTCAACTTGAAGCCTCACTCTGAACACTGGAGGAGGCTTTAGTACAGTACGCTTCACTTTACTTAGAGCGGACAAATACCACTTATGAGCTCTTTTATAATTTGTTATGATCAGTACTTATAATGTATTATGTTAACAATTCATAATGAATAATAAACATGGCTATATTATGAATGTGTTTACAAAGGTGACATTCATAGAAAGTGTTACCAAAAAATTTATAGTAACTAAAATTTTCACATCTTATAATTAGTGCTTTCAAACAATAAAAGAATAATTTGTGATTAATCTCAGTATTTTTGTGCAGTTAATTGTGATTATACTATATACTATATTAATATATACTATATTATTATACTCAGTAGTTAATCACAATCAACCACATTCTTTTGTGTAGGTAATCGTATTAAATCACAGTGTTTTGTGCAGTTAATCGTGATTAATCAAATTATTTTGTGTAGTTAATTACAATCAATTTGTGTTATTATGAACCTAAATTAAATTGATGCAATAAAAAGAAACTTTCTGTAGTTTATATCTTATGAGTTAGAAGATTTAACACAATGAAATATTGATCAGATAAAGCAGGTATTGGATAATAACTACAAACAATACTGGTTATACTTTAAACCACTACTTATTGTATTAATGTTATATTTATTGTAATTTTAGGTTTAAATCTAATTTCTCCGATGACTAAACCTTCTGCATGATACTGTAAATAGTTATATATGTGTATGTAATCAAATACATTCAAAATGTTGAAACAATAGAACTAAAAACAGAGCAAAACCATAAATATACCAAAATAAGATGATAATAACACATCACGACTTACGATCCGGTTAACGTTATTTTTTCCTTGTCTTCCAGCAACAGCTTCCTCTGTCGTTCAGCGCCGTGGTAACGGGTAACAGGTGGAAGGGGGAGGCGCTCATACCCTGGAACTACTTCCCGCCCGGCGTGGACAAGATGAACTCGTACGCCATCCACGGCTCTGGGAGTGGGCGGAGCTACGAGGCCCTTTACCCCGTCCCCCCGGAGGACCTCCAGCCGGGACAGGGGCCGGACTTGTGAGTATTTTAATCAGCTCAGACTGATGATTATGGTGTTAAACGCAGAATCAGAGCGCCACCCGCAGGAGGAAGCACTTAAACACGAACGTGACGCAGCATAAATGCTGCACACTGACGGTAACTGAGCTACAGTGAACTCGGCTGTTACTCTAATTCAGAGCGATAGTTAAACCTGCCTGTGTGGATTCAGTCAGGACTCAGCAGGAGATACAGCAGGAGATACAACAAGAGATACAGCAGGAGATACAGCAGGAGATACAACAGGAGATACAGCAGGAGATACAGAAATAGTACAAAGACAACGTCAATTGTTGAGGCTGAGAAATTTAGTTGTTTTTTGAAAAATATTTGCCCATTTTGAATTTGATGCCAACAACACGTTCCAAAACAGTTGGGATGGGGCATCAAAAGACTGGTAAAGTTGTCTTATGCTAAAAAAAACACCTGGTGGTTAATTGGCAACAGGTCAGTAACATGATTGGGTATAAAAGAGCATCTCAGAGGGGCGGAGTCTTTCAGAAGTAAAGATGAGGAGGGGTTCACCACTCTGTGAAAGACTGCAGAATCAAACAGTGCAACAATTCAAGAATAACGTTTCTCAACATAAAATAGCAAAGAACTTCTGCTTTTCATCATCTATGGTACATAATATCATTAAAAGAGTCAGAGAATCTGGAGAAATCTCTGTATGTAAGGGACGAGGCCAAAAACCAGTATTTGCTGGCCGTGATCTTTGGGCCCTCAGGCAGCACTGCATTAAAAACAGACATGATTCTGCAGTGGAAATCACTGCATGGGCTCAGAAACACTTTTGAAAACCACTGTCTGTGAAAACAGTTCATCACTGCATCCACAAATCCAAGTTAAAGCTCTAAAATGCGAAGAAGAAACCAAATATAAACAGGATCCAGAAACGCTGCCACCTTCTCTGGGCCTGAGCTCATTTAGTGGAAAGTGGAAAAGTGTCCTGTGGTCTGACGAATCAACATTTAAAATCCTTTCTGGAAATCATGGACACTGTGTCCTCCAGGCTAGAGACCACTCAGCTTGTTATTAGTGCACAGTTCAAAAGCCAGTATTCATGATGGTCTAGGGGGGCATTAGTGCACATGGCATGGGTGACCTGCACATCTGTGAAGGCACCATTAATGCTGAATGATAGATACATGTTTAGGCAACATATGCTGCCATCCAGACGACATCTTTTTCAGAGAAGGCCTTGATTATTTCAGCAAGACAATATAAAACCACATTCTGCATGTTTTACAACATCATTGCTCCGTATTAAAAGAGTCCAGGTGCTAAACTGACCTGCCTGCAGTCCAGACCTGTCACCACTGAAAACATTTGACACATTATAAAATGAAAAATACGACAAATGAGACCCTGAACTGATGAGCAGCTGAAATCCTGTATCAAAAAAAAAAAAAAAAAAACATTTCACTTTCTAAACTACAGCAGTGTCTCCTCAGTTCCCAAACGCTTACAGAGTGTCGTTAAAGAAGAGGTGATGAAACACAGTGGTAAACAGGCCCCCGGGCAAATATGGGCAAATATTTTACAAAAAACAAAATTTCTCAGTTTCAACATTTGATATGTTGTCTTTGTAGTATTTTAATTTAAACATATGGTTTACATGATTTACATATCATTGCATCCTATTATTATTTACATTCTGCACAGCGTCCCAACTTTTTTGGAAATGGGGTTGTAGTTACATAATAGTACTTATTTTTAGCGTATCTGTATGGTTCCATTGACTTACAGTAAAAGTGAAGTATGTTTTCCTTCTCCTGTAAAATTACCATTTAGGATTTATGAGTTATGAGTTGTTTCGGAGCATACATATATATATATATATATAATATATATATATATATATATATATATATATATATATATATATATAATGTGCATTTTATGTCTGCCATGAAAAAGGGTCAATGCATAACTATGCAGATTTAATTTTTTTTTTTATTATTATTTTGTTTTCAGTCACCGCCTGCAGTATTTCAAGCCCTTCAGCCTGCAGAGCATAATGGGAGAAGGCTGGGTCCAGCCCGAGTCTGACCTGTGGAGGAACACCTAAATGGTTGATCTCGGATCAGTTGACCTCAACGCCGCCCTGACCGGCTTTACTGGGCAGAGCTGACCTGAGAGCAGCGCAGCAGACGATGATGATGATGATGATGATGATTAGCCTAATGAGGTTTTAATGGCAGTTAGATGGGCTTTAGCATTAAACACAGCCTACATTAATAATGCAGCTGTAATCTGAGTGATGTGTCTGGTAATCTGAACACTGTTTATACGTTAATGAGCGCAATAAACCGGCCGTTACGACCCACTCAGCACAAATAAACAGGGCTCTGAGATTTCCTTAAGTAAACAAGCCAATAAAGTCCATCACCCAGCCAGCGTGTCCAGCTCGTTTGTTCACCAGAAGCAGCTTAGGTAGATATATACATAAATACACACATACATAAATACACACATACATAAATACACACATACATAAATACATACATACATAAATACATACATACATAAATACACACATGCATACATAAATAAATACACACATACATAAATACACACATACATAAATACATACACACATGCATACATAAATAAATGAATGCAGTGTGGTTTAAAGTCAGCGGGTGGCATTTTAACCCACTGCTGCTTTTTAAATGTCACTGTTTCTTATAAAGTGTGTAAAAATACAGAACAAACAGACTGAAGGTGAACGAGTGTCTCAGTAAACAGCGTCTGCGTTTCAGAATCAGCTCAGCTGATTATTCAGAGCTCTGGGTGTATTTAACACTTCACTCTGTTACTCTTCACTATTCTCTCTCTCTCTCTCTCTCTACTCTTTCTCTATTCTCTCTACTCTTTCTCTATTCTCTCTCTCTCTCTCTCTCTCTCTCTCTCTCTATTCTCTTTCTTTATTCTCTGTCTCTATTCTCTCTCTCTCTCTCTCTATATATATATATATATATATATTCTCTCTTTCTATTCACTCTTTTCTATTCTCTCTTTCTCTCTCTCTCTCTCTCTCTTATATAATATATATATATATTCTCTCTTTCTATTCTCTCTCTATTCTTTCTCTCTCCTCTCCCTCTCTTTTCACTCGTGACATTTGAAGAAACTTCTGTTCCACTGCAGTAATCCTTTTCTCTGTTTCAGTTAATCCCTCCTCTCTCCATCCTTTAGCTCTCTCTCCATTTTTAACCATCTCTCCATCCTTTAGCTCTCTCGCCCTATCTCTCCTTTCTTTAGCTATATCCCTCTCCTTTCTTTAGCTCTCTCTCTCCATTCTTTAGCTATATCTCTCTCCTTTCTTTAGCTCTCTCTCTCCTTTCTTTAGCTCTCTCTCTCTCTCCTTTCTTTAGCTCTCTCTCTCTCCTTTCTTTAGCTATATCTCTCTCCTTTCTTTAACTCTCTCTCTCCTTTCTTTAGCTGTATCTCTCTCTCCTTTCTTTAGCTATATCTCTCCTTTCTTTAGCTATATCTCTCCTTTCTTTAGCTCTCTCCTTTCTTTGGCTGTATCTCTTCTTTCTTTAGCTCTCTCTCCTTTTCTTTAGCTATATCTTTCTCCTTTCTCTAGCTCTCTCTCTCCTTTCTTTAGCTGTATCTCTCCTTCATTTATCTCTCTTTTTCTTACCACTCTCTCTTGCACTCCTTTTACTTTCTGTCTCTCTTTCTTCTTCTCCCTCTATACATTTCTCTCTCTTTCTCTGTCTCTCTGATGGCTTTCTTTTTCCCTCTCTCTCTATTCCTCTTACACGTCTCTCCCACTCCCTCTGTTTCTCCCTCCACCTTCTTTCACTTACTTACTTTTCTCTCTGTTTTTCTTCTTTCTCTCTCCCTTCTTTTCCCTCCTGTCTACTTCTCCCTTTTCTCCTGCTCTCTTTCTTTCCTCTCTCTCTCTCTCTCTCTCTCTCCCACATTTCTCTTTCTCTCCCTTTTTTCTCTCTTTTTCTCTGGCTTCCCCCTCTATACATTCTTTCTCTCTCTCCTCCCTCTTTCTCTTTTTCTTCTTTTCCCTACTTTTCCCTCCCATCTCTCTCTCTCTCTCTCCTCTCTCTCTCTCTCTCTCTCTCTCTCGGTCATTGATCCCCTCGTGCTGCTCTTTTTTTGTTCTGCTCTTTAATCTGTTATTGAGCTCCGTCTGTTTTAATTGGTGCTTTTCTTTCTGAAGCCCACCAGTGATTTACACCCTCAGCACACACCCTCACCGAGACCCTCATTATCACAGAGAGAGACAGAGAGAGAGATACAGAGAGAGAGAGACAGAGAGAGAGAGACAGAGAGAGAGAAAGACTCTATTCACTCTATTATCTCTTCTGTTATCTGTCTGAATGTGTCTGATATGATAGTCTGTGTTCTAAAGGTATGAAGTGCTGTAGGAGGAGGAAACGGTTCTTCCTCTGCCCTCTCAGAGATAAGGTTCCACCTCTGTCTCTGGGCTGGAACCCTGAAGGGAACGTCTTCAGTACCTTTGGTCAGAGGAACATCACTGTAACATCCCTAAACACTGTGGTACCATATTTACACCATCTGTACCTTAATGATCTATAAATACCAGCACAGAACCTTCATTCTGACAGTCTACATGTAAATATCTGCTCTCTGATTGGCCGATGTGGAAAAACAGCACATTACGCTCCTCATTCAGTATCCAATCAATGAACACATTGATTTTCTTAACGTCTGATACTCTCATCTAATCACACACTCATTCGCAGCACACGGAAGTGAGGCTTTAGCATTAGCATTCTGCTAGTCTTCACTGCTGAACAAAATCATAGAACCCATTAAAAGGTTCTGTAAAATAGTCTGTCATGGTGTTCTGTGTGTTCCTGATGGGTTGATAACACAGTGTAAAGGACTCTAATGCTTTAACAGGTAACAGGAGTCCAGATGCATTCGCTGGTTTCCTGATGGGATCTAAAGGTCTTCCACAGGAAACTAGTGGCCTATAATGGTAACCACTGAGCCAGTTCCTAATGGTTCTAATGGTCTTTTTTCAGCATGGAAATTATTTCTATGCTGAATAAATTGTATAATGAAGCTTATATCACCATGGAGTCAATAATAAATCACTCCAAACAAGCCAGTTTTACAATTTCAGTTCATATTTTACATGTAAAGTGGCTTGAAGGCTAAGTTTACAGCTCACTAACTCACAGCTCACTAACGATCTGAATGTTCTCCACAAGGGGGAGCTGTTCACACTCATGTCAGAGGAAACTGACATGAACCCACAGCAGGCTAAGCTGATGAGCAGTAGAAGTCCAGTCCAAGCCAAGACCAAGGCTTTTTTAGCAGTCCAGTCCGAGTCAAGACAAAGGCTTTGTCGTAGTCCAGTCCGAGTCAAAACCGAGAGTTTTTTTAGCAGTCCAGTCCGAGTGAAGACCAAGTCTTTTATATAGCATTCAAGTCCGAGTCAAGACCAAGACTTTGTCATAGTCCAGTCCGAGTCAAGACCGAGAGTTTTTTAGCAGTCTAGTCCAAGTCAAGACTGAGACTTTTTTAGCAGTCCAGTCCAAGTCAAGACCAGGACTTTTTTAGCAGTCCAGTCCGTGTCAAGACCAAGAATTTTTCAGCAGTCCAGTCCAAGTCAAGACCAGGACTTTGTCAAAGTCCAGTCCAAGTCAAGACTGAGACTTTTTTAGCAGTCCAGTACGAGTCAAGGCTGAGACTTTTTTAGCAGTCCAGTATGAGTCAAGACCGAAACTTATTTAGCATTCCAGTACGAGCCAAGGCTGAGACTAACAGTCCAGTATGAGTCAAGGCTGAGACTTTTTTAGCAGTCCAGTACGAGTCAAGACCAAGACTTTTTTAGCAGTCCAGTCCGAGTCAAGACCAAGACTTTTTTAGCAGTCCAGTCCAAGTCAAGACCAAGACTTTTTTAGCAGTCCAGTCCGAGTCAAGACCAAGGCTTTGTCGTAGTCCAGTCCGAGTCAAGAGTGAGAGTTTTTTTAGCCGTCTAGTCCGAGTCAAGACCAGGACTTTTTTAGCAGTCCAGTCCGAGTCAAGGCTGAGACCTTTTTAGCAGTCCAGTACGAGTCAAGGCCGAGACTTTTTTAGCAGTCCAGTATGAGTCATGACCGAGACTTATTTAGCATTCCAGTAGGAGCCAAGGCCGAGACTAACAGTGCAGTCCGAGTCAAGGCTGAGACTTTTTTAGCAGTCCAGTACGAGTCAAGGCTGGGACTTTTTTAGCAGTCCAGTCTGAGTCAAGGCACTTTGTAGCAGTCCAGTCTGAGTCAAGACCAAGACTTTGTGTAGTTCAGTCCACATGAAGACAGAGACTTTGTAGCAGTCCAGTCCATGTAATCACGATGGTGTTAAGTGTTTTTTGTGGACTTATCGGTTAGGCCTGTATTAGAGTTGGTTCCCCATATATAGTTAAGAGATTACCATAGCAATAACTTAGCAACACCTTAGCAAACACTTAAGATACTATAGCAATGGCTTAGCAACACCTTAGGAATAATCCGGCATACTGTAGAAATGGTTTAGCAACACCTTAGCAACCACCTGGGATACCATGGCAATGGCTTAACAACAGCTTCACAGCCACCTGGGATACCATGGCAATGGCTTAACAACAGCTTCACAGCCACCTGGGATACCATGGCAATGGCTTAAAAACAACTTAGCAACTACCTGGGATACTATAGCAATAGCCTAGCAACACCTTAGCAACCACCTGGCATACTATAACAATGGTCTAGCAACACTTTAGGAATCACCAGGGATACCATAGTAATGGCATAGCAAGAGCTTAGCAACCACCTGAGATACTATAGCAATGGCCTAGCAATGCCTTAGCAACCACCTGGGATACCATAGCAATGGCTTAGCAACTACCTGGGATACCATAGCAATAACCTAGCAACACCTTAGCAACCACTTGAGATACTATAGCAATGGCTTAGCAACACCTTAGGAATCATCTGGCATACTGTAGCAATGGCTAAGCAACCACCTGGGATACTATAGCAATGGCTTACCAACACGTTAGCAACCACTTGGGATGCCACAGCATTTGCGTAGCAACCACCTGGGATACTGTAGCAATGGCTTAGCAACACTTTAGGAATCACCTGGGATACCATAGCAATACCTTGCCAACCAACTGAATACTATAGCAATGGCCTATCAACACCTTAGGAATTACCCTGGATACCATAGCAATGCCTTACCAACCACCTGGGATACTATAGCAATGGCTTAGCAAAACCTTAGCAACCATCTGGGATACCATAGCAATGGCTTAGCAACCACCTGGGATACTATAACAATGGCTTAGCAAAGCCTTAGCAACCATCTGGGATACCATAGCAATGGCTTAGCAACCACCTGGGATACTATAACAATGGCTTAGCAAAGCCTTAGC